TAACAAAAATAAAATTTAAAAAAATAAAATTAAAGTGTCATTATTTGCAGATGACATGATATTTTATATAGAGAACCCTAAAGATTCCACCAAAAAACTACCAGAACTGATAAATGAATTCAGTGAAGTAGCAGGGTACAAAATAAATATCCAGAAATCAGTTGCATTTTTATACACCAATAAGGAACTATCAGAAAGTAATACTAAGAAAACAATCCCATTCACAATGATTTTTTAAAAATACCTAGGAATAAATTTAACCAAGGATATAAAAGACCTGTACTCAGAAAATTATAAACACTGAAGAAAAAATGAAAGAAGATATAAATAAGTGGAAGCATATCCTGTATTAATGGATAGGAAGAATTAACATTATTAAAATATCCATATTACCCAAAGCAATTTATAGATTCAATGCAATTCCTATCAAGATATCAATGGGATATTGCACAGAACTAGAACAAGTATTCCAAAAATTTATATGAAATCAAAAAAGACGCGAAATAGTCTCAGAAATCTTGAGAAAGAACCAAGTTGGAGGAATCATGCTACTTGATATCAAACTATACTATAAGGCCATAGTAATCAAAACAGCATGATACTAGCATAAAAACAGACACATAGATCAATGTGACAGAACAGACAGCCCAGAAATAAACCCACACTTTTATGTTCAATTAATATTTGACAAAGGAGGCAAAAACATACAATGGGGTAAAGATAATCTATATTGATAAATAATGCAGGAAAAATCTGACAGATACGTGCAAAAAAATGAAACTATACCACCTTCTTACACCATTCACAAAAATAAACCCAAAATGAATTCAAGGTTTAAATGAAAAAAACATAGGCAACAAAATTTCAGACATTTCTTATATAGCAATATTTTTTTCTGATATATCTCCTCAGGTAAGAGAAACAAAAGAAAAAATAAATCAGACTACATCAAGCTAAATAGTTTTTGCACAGCAAAGGAAATCATCAACAAAATTAAAAAACAACCCACTGAATGGGAGATCTTATTCACCAATGGTACATCTGATAAGGGGTTACTATCCAAAATTTATGAAGAATTTATACAACTCAACACCAAAAAAAAAAATCCCCACTTAAAAAATGTGCAAAGGACCTGAATAGACACTTATCCAAAGAGAACATACAGATGGCCGGTAGACATATGAAAAGATTCTCAATGTCACTAATCATCAGAGAAATGCAAATTAAAACCATAATGAGAAATCACCTCACATGTGCCAGAATGGCTATCATCAATAAATCAACAGATAACAAGTCCTGGTGAGGAGGTGGAGAAAAGGAAACCCTTATACACTGCTGGTGGGAATGCAGACTGGTGCAGCCACTGTGGAAAGCAGTATGAAGTTACCTCAAAATTTTAAAATGGAACTGCCTTTTGACCCAGCAATCCCACTTCTGGGAATATATCTGAAGAAACCTGAACCACTAATTCAAAAGAATATATGCACTCCTGTGTTCATTCCAGCATTATTTACAATAGTCAAGATCTAGAAACAGCCCAAGTGCCCATCAGTAGATGAGTGGATAATAAAAAGTTGTGGTACATATACACAGTGGAATACTACTTGGATGTTAAAAAGAAGGAAATCGTATCCTTTGCAACAACATGGAGGGACCTAGAGATTATTATGCTAAGTGAAATACAAATCAGAGAAAGACAAGTAGCATATGACTTCACTCATATATGGAATCTAATGAACAAAATAAACTAACAAACAAAAATACAAACAGACTTATAGAGAACAGAGGGGAGGGGGTTGCAGGGCTGAGTAAGAAAAGTGAAGGGATTAAGCAAAAAAAAATGTTTCATAGACACAGTCAACAAGTATGGTGATTACCAGAGGGAAAGGGGTCTCGGGGGAGGTAGAAAAGAGTATAGGGGGGATAAATGGTGATAGAAGGAGACTTGATCTGGGGTGGTGAACACACAAAATACAGATGATGTATTATAACAGTATATACCTGAAACCTATATAATTTTATTAACCAACATCACTCCAATAAATTCAATAAAAAAGTAAGAAAAAGAAAATGAGAATTCTAAATCAAAGAGATATATGACTCTATGTTCATTGCATTATCATTTATAATAACCAAGATATAGAAATAATCTGTGCCTATCAATGGATAAATCAATAAAGAAAATGTCACACACACAGAGACACACACACACACACACCGGAGTATTATTTAGCCATAAATAAAGAATTAAGTTTTGCCATTTTCAACAACATAGATGGACCTTGAGGGTATTATGCTGTGAAATAAATCAGATAAACAAATACTATATGATCTCACTTATATGTAGAATCTTACCAAACACAAAAACACATCCAGTTTCATTAGATAAGAGAAACAGAGAACAGATTGGCAGTTGCCAGGGGTGAGAAATGAAAATGAGCAAAATGGGTGAAGGAGGTCAAAGGTACAAATGTCTATTTATAAAATAAATAAGTCATGGGGATGTAATACACAGCATGGTGACTACAGTTAATATTGCTGTATTGAATATTTGAAAGATGCAAAGAGAGCCCAGCTAGTGTGGCTCAGTGGTTGAGTGTCGACCCATGTACCAAGAGGTTGCCACTTCAATTCCCAGTCAGGGCACATGCCCAGGATGTGGGCCCAATCCCCAGTGGGGGGCATGCAGGAAGTGGCCAACTGATGTTCTCTCTCATCAATGTTTCTCTCCCTCTCCCTTCCTCTCTCTCTAAAGATAATTTAATAAAAAAGAAAGAACAATGCTAAGAGAATAGACCTTAAAAGTTCTCATCAAAAGAAAAAATTTTGTAACTTATGTGATGACAGATAATTATCTAGAATTATTGTGGTGATCATCTTGCAATGTATACAGATATTGAATCATTATGTTGTACACCTGAAACTACTATGCCAAGTATACCTCAGTTAAAGAAAATTTATGATATAGTAAATGAAAAAAAAAAAAAAAAACTGGGCTAGTGCATGTTCAGGTACATTATGGTTGTGACTATAAAAATAGGCTAGGATGGAATACACCACAATTGTAAATTAACTGTGTTATAGCAAAAATATGGACGACTTTTTTTTCCACTTCTATCAATTATAATTATGTGTTTAATTTTAAAAAATTTTGAAGAGCAATCTCATCAAACATTCCAGCCTCACACTGTGGTGCCAATTACAAAAGTCACCCAAAGGAGACCCTCCTCCCTGGAGCCACATTCACTGTCATCCCCTTGGGGGTACACTGAGTTATGGAGCCAGTGCTCCTTCAGGGTTGTCTTTGTTCAGTTAAGAAAAATGACTTAACTGCCCTGGCTGGTTTGCTCAGTGGTTAGAGCACTGGCCTGCGGACCAAAGGGTCTCAGGTATGATTTCTGGTCAAGGGCACGCACTTGGGTTGCAGGTTCATACCTCAGTTGTGGTCCGGTCCCCAGCCCCGGTCAGGGTCATGCAGGAGGCAACCAACGATGTGTCTCTCACACATGGATGCTATTCTCTCTCTTCCTCCTCACTTCTACTCTATGTAGAAAATCAATGAAAAAATGTCCTCAGGTGAGGACTAACAAAAAAAAAAAAAGAAAAACGAGTTAACTTTTATCTTCTCCTGACTCTTCCTGAACTTGTATGCCCTTTATCGTGTTTATCACCTCAGTTTTCATTTTACTTCTGTGGTTAGAACATTCCAGAGGATAAGATCATTATCTTGGCACATTATCTAAATGATTTAGGGGTTGATAAGGCAAAGGACAAAGGCTAACATTTATGGCATGGTAGATCTAAAGAGAAAGTTTCCGTTTAAGACAAAATTAGAAAAGGTTGGAATAAGAAAACTTGGATATTATCTGGTCCAACACCACTCCCATTTCAGAAGAAACCTGAGGCTCTGAGCGATAAGGAACGTCCCAGGTCTGGAAGCTGCAGAGCTGGGACTATGAGCCCAGATCTCCTGACCTGCCTTCCATGAATAGGCAGCTGCTCCCGGGAGCATTCCAGTGAACTGCAGAGGGGCCTCTAAACCAACCAAAAGTAATGAGTAAGGAAATTAATTTTTGATAAGATTTCAAGTTGAAAACAATTACCGGTGTCTGCAAAAGCATGAGAGCCACCAGCAAAAGGAGGCATGGAAAAGAGGCACAAAATAAAATCAGAAACGCACGCGTTCCATGTGCTACTTGAAAATTTGACTGCCTTCTTCCCTTCATCTTTTTTTTTTGGTGACAGATTTATTAAGATAGAATTCATATACCATACACTTCACCCATTTAAAGTACACAGCTCACTGAGTATATTAGAGTTGTACAACCATCACTACAATCAATCTTAGGACATGTTCATCGTCCCCAAAAGAAATGCCATACCTATAACTATCACCCCACCGCAGCTCTCTATTCCTAGGCAACCACCGATCTACTTTCTGTCTTTACAATATACCTACTGTCAACACGTCACATAAACGGAATCAAATGACATGCAGCCTTTTGCAACTGGCTTCTGTCGCTTAGCTTACTGTCCCCAAGGCTCACCCATGTTTGCAGCATGAACCGTTCCTCCCTGAATCTTTTTTTTTTTTTTTTAATCCTCACCCGAGGACATTTTTCCATTTTTTGTTCAGGTAGAGTGGGAGGGAGAGAGAAGAACAGAGAGAGAGAGAGAGAAACATCGATGTGAAAGGGACACATCGAGTGGCTGCCACCCGCACAACCAACCAGGGCCGGGGACACACTGCAACCGAGGTACGTGCCCTTAGCGGGAACCGAACCCGGGTCTCTCAGGACCGCAGGCCGACGCTCTAACCGCTGAGCCAAACCGGCCAGGGCCCTCCCTGAATCTTGACTGCAGTCACCAGACACCTGCAGCCCAAGCTCTTTTGTCCTTGTGATGCACATAAATTAAATTAACATGGGTAGATGTCCACAAGTGCAGGACAGGAGAGTGACAACGGTAAAGATTTCCAGGCTTTCCCGTTTCATACTTACTTTGACTTTGTAAAGTTGCCTCAGCCTCCTCAATAGTTATTAACAGATTTTCAGAAAGGTCTCTTCTTTTGCTCACTATTGGAAAACCATTCCAGATGTACATCATTTCCTAACAAGGAAGAATGAAAAATCATTTGCAATTATGCCCCTTATGGCAACAAAACGACAAATGTGTGTTTGCCTTGGTTGCTGTGGATCCCATATGAAGTTTAGTAATATTATTTCCCCCTTTCTCATTTTAATCTAGGCCTTTTGCCTTTTATACTGTGAAGTAATTCAATAGATATATAGTATATTTTTACTGAAGAATTGATTTCTTCATTCATTTAGCAAATATTTATTAAGCACCTGCTAGTCTTCAATCATTTTGGAAGATAATCCATTACAGATACAGAAATAAAGGTAATACGCTAGTCCCTCGCCACTTCGCGCTTCGACTTTCGCGGCTTCGCTCTATCGTGGTTTCTTCCGAATATATTCATTAAAAAATTGATCGAGACAGTGAAAATGATACAGCGTGCACTAGGTTGTCTGAGTCAATTATACACCCCTGTATTAGAATTACAATTAAAATTACTGTCCGTATGGACTGTAGGCCTATGTATTCGAGCACCCCAGGGATCCTCCAACGCCAGGTGCAACTGCTAGAGTCTGGAACGGATTAACTGCGATAAACGAGGGATGACTGTATTTTAAACCGATACCACGAACAATTTTATGTAATATAAATTTTTGTTGTTGCACTTAAGTAAAGGGAAAACATTTAAAAATATCTGCCAATTATTTATATAAACTGTTTCCAAGGACATCACTGGAAATGAACGTAGGAAATCTTTTCCTGGGCTCAGGTTCTCTTACACCATTAAAACATGTGACAGTCCAGTAATGCAATCCAATGTGCAAAAAATGTATTCATCTGAAGGCCATATGGCTGAATGACAGCCCCTGGAAATGTCAACTAATGATTTCTGATTGCAAATTACATTTAATAGGCTAACAGATGATAATATTTTTTTTGGACCAAAAGCAAATGTACTTTTGCTTGAAAATATTTTTCTAATCTTCCTAGTAGTGCAGTTCATATTTTTAAGGGTATGAAATAAGCAGGGTAATTAGTATTTCTTGGAAATAAAATATGATAAAGATGTTATTTGAACACCCTCTTACAGGGAGCAGTAGAAAAGAGGAAAATGCATCAGAGTACAGTGGCAACAAAGTTGTCTTTACTTTATGGCTCTGAAAACTACCAAGATTACCACACTCTACCTTTTATTCTACATCTAACAGTTTCTTGTTGCGAACAGTGTAACAACTCAGTTCTATAACTAATGGAATATTTATTTTAATTGACGATGACCTTTTTTAATGTTGTTTCTACTGATGAAGCATTTTATCAGAAGAAGGAAAACAAGTTTATATCTGAGATTTTATGAAAAGCAGGATTTGGGTAAAATTCCTAGTTACCACAATTCAAGCCAATTCTATACTCCTAGATCTAGAGAAATAAGTGCAGTGAGTTGACCTTCCTTAAGTTCCTTAATAAAGCAGGATAAAATTAGCATATAAGTTCTAGGACAGAGAGAGGACTATGGTGTCCTAGATGATTTTCAGGAAAGTTCTGTGACACAGAAAGAAAAAGTTTCCAAGCAAAAATCAGTGATAGAAACGAGTCAGGAATGGTGCTAATGCTACAATTGGTAAAATAGCAGCAGGCTTCTTATTTTGTCTGTGCTCAGATATGATTACAGAATGGTCCTATTTTGTCTACCACAGGCACAGAACAACCTGTTCTGGTGGTGGTGTGCCCTGAGATTTATCTGAAGTAGAAACACCTGGGCCTAGGTATTAGCTGCAGGCCAACTCCCGTCGCCTGGTAGAGGCTGCAGCTTTCTTCCTCATAACATATATAAAGAGCTCCTATAATTCAACAATCAAACAATAAACAACCCAATGAAAAACTGGGGAAGTATATGAACAAGTCACAGAAGAAGAAATAAATAAAAGTGAGTAACCACATAAAAAGATGTTCAACTGTACCAACAGGGAAATGCAAATTAAAAATAAAACACTGTTGGTAGGATTTTACACTGGTTCGGCCTTTGTAGAGGACAATTTGCCCATGTCAAAATATCAAATGCATGTACCTCTAGAAACTCCATTTCTAGAAAGTGTTCCCAGAGAATTATATGCCCATGCGCCAAAGTAATATAAAAGAACATGCATTGTAGCATGTTTGTCATAGTAAAAACCGGGAAAAAACACTGAATAACTTTCAAAGGAGAATAACTGAATAAACTGAAATACAGATTTAAAAAAAGTGTTTTTAAAAATCAGGAAATCCCAGCAGAGGACTGCAGAGGTCCGCAGGCAATGAACAGCTCTCTTGTGCTACCTGACCAACCACGCACATCCAAAGCCCCATCGAGACACAGTAATTTGACATATTCAGTACTTTTTCAAGAAGTCTTCATTAAGACAAGGTAAGCTGAAATTACGGTGCATATGACGTCTGGCCTAGGTGGCCCCACAGTGAGGAACGTGAGCTCCGGAGCTCCCGGCAAGCAGCCGCCTCCAGCCCGGAGATGCGCTCGTCCGCACCGAGGTGTGCGCGAGTGAAGCACACTCCTGCCAGAGAGCCGGCGCAGCAGAAAGGACTGGGACAGAGCTCATCAAATTTCTGTTGTTTACATGTTCAAACAACAACATTCTGTATACACTGGATTAAACAAAATATATCCTTTCAATCATTTTCATGTTTCCTCTTTTTTAATTTTTTACCTTTTCATTTTTTAATGTGGCCACTTAGAAAAGATAAAATTGCACACGTGGCTCACATTAGAATTCAACTCAACCTCAATTAGGCACCTCACCTCACTCTGCCTGAATTTCCTTGTCTGTAAAATGGGGTTACAAAGAGAAACTACCCTCACAGAGTCACTGTAAGAATTAAACTATATAGTGCTCTTTATCATAACATGTAGAACATACCAATTCGTCAAAAACCATCAGCTATAATATTTATTGTTTAAATATTAATTGTTTATGAATGTTCACCTCACAGACACACTTACAATGGTTTTCAGTGAAGCTGAATTTCACAGCAAAAGTTAGGTGGGCTCCCTGCTGCTATGAATAGACAATTTATTTCCAGAACGCAAATAGTAAGTAAAATAAAGGCAGATACCAGGGCAGGCAAGATGAGTTTCACAGGTGTAGACAAGGAATACCGTCGAGATTTCCTCACAGCAAACTTCTCAGTAGGAATAGATTTCCCGGCAATTCTCTGCTTCAAGCCATCCACCTGTCTGTGAAGAGCCCCAGCCCCAGCAAAAGGTCATTAGAACACAGACACTATTTACACCAGTGGTGTTCACGCTGTGTTCCCCAGACCAGCAGCATCAGCATCACTTGGAAACATGTTCCAATGACAACTTTTCAGGCTCCTCCCCAAACCCAGTGAATCAGCGACTCCTAGGGCTGGGCCAGCAATCTGGATTCAATGAGGCTGCCAGGCGATTCTGATGCATGCTCAAGTTTGAGCACTACTGATGAACGCATTCTTCCTTCTACTTAACCTAGCCAATGTCTCAAATCTAATATAAAACTGGCAACTTCCTTAAGTAAGCAGAAATGTGTCCAAAATATTTACTTACATCATGACTACTCAGCAACAGGTCTACTCCTGTCTGCATGCCCCACACAGATGGATAAAATAACGTGGCTCAAAAGAGAGCTGTCCATGTGTAATCTGAGAAAAATTTTCCCAAGTATAGGTGATTTCGAAAATAATCACCTGAGAACAGACACCAGGCTTACAAATTTCCTCTCAAAACTCTAAGGAATTTCAGTTATGAAACTCAAGTTCACCGGGATGGGAAACATGTTCCTAGAGCACTTGCTCATAGAACATAAATGTGTAAGTGCATCAGACACACCGCTGAGAAAGAATTCACTGAAAGAAACAGTAAGATGAAACAAGAGAAAAAATATTCCAAAAACATGAGGACAAGATTGTGCTAGGTTACTTCTGGGCACGATTTGGGGATACGGACTTTAACTAGGATGCCCATGATTTGATGTTCACTGACATCCGTGGAAGAGGCGATGGAAGTGTGAGGGGGGTCGGGAGAAGGGATCAGAACTATGCGCTGGACATGAAACCTTTTGGTTTAATGATCACAGAGTATGTATGAAGAAAACATTCATCTGGGGACTCTCCTGTCATTATCCAATAAATTAGATGCTATCATATAGCAGACCTCAAGCGTTTTCCTAAAAAGAAGATTGGTTGCATGTTTCATAGAAATTGTTTTGATATGGAAAAAATTTGTTCTCAAGTGGAGGAGACAGAAGGAGATGGAAAAGACTTCAATGCATCTTAATATTCCATCCCATCTCATTAGTTGTTTGTGTGAAATGAGAAAATGCATTTGAGCAGTAAGAGGTAGCATTTATCATACCATGGCTTCTCCTGATGTTGATCCTATACTTAGTACACAAGGTCCTTTTTATTTATTTATTTATTTATTTATTTATTTATTTATTTATTTATTTATTTATTTTGGGTTTTTTGCAAGATCAGTATTTAAAAAAATTTTTTTTTCTTTATTGATTTGAGAGAGAGAGAGTAAGGAAGAGGGAGAGACAGAAACATCATGAGAGAGAACATCGACTGGCCGCCTCCTGCATGCCCTCCACTGGGGATTGGGCCCACAAGCTGAGCATGTGCCCTGATTGGGAATGGAACCTGTGACCTTTTGGTGTATGGGGTCGACGCTCAGCCACTGAGCCACACCGGCCAGGCAGGTCAGTATATTTTTTGATGTGCCGCAGAATTTTAGTAATTAGTTTGTGTGTCACAAGATGAAAAAGGTTGAGAATCGCTGTCCTATATCTTAGACAAAGTGCACTGCAATCCGACAGGGTGCGAACAGCCCGACACTGAAGAGGTGCTGCAGACACTGAGACCCAGGGTCACCTCACCACACAGTGAGGTGTCAGTGAAGCTGCCTGCAGGCGGACGGCGCTGCTTGCCGAGAAAGCCAGTCTGCTGCTCTGTCCCAGACGTCCTCACAGCAGCGGTCAGATCAACAGCAATAAAACAAGACTCAGTGTTTCTCAATAGCCCAAAAAGTAATAGTTGAGATCATGGAATGCTTTCACTGTACACACTTGAGGATACATTCATTTAATCCACGGGAAGCCCTGTGAAGTAGGCATCCTTCTTTATCTCGTTTTAAGGGTGAAGAGACTGGAGCACAAGGACTTACAGCTGATTCGGCTGCAGCTGTGTGGCTAACAGGTGGCAGAGCAGGGATTTCAAACTCGGACAGGTTGAAGGTCCTGTTTTAAAAGGAGCTTTTAGAAAGGAAATGAAAAAGTGGTTCCGGTCATATCTTCAAATTTGTCCTGATAAGTCTGAGGGTTCACCTAAGATCTTATTTCTCATAATGTGGTCACAGAATAATACAGTCCATTTAGTTCTGTGACGAATTACATGTGAAGAATGCAGTGGGGTTTCACCATTCCTTAACTCATCCCCAGTGGTCATCTGCTCACTAGCACGGCCACCCACCCTTCCGGTCTTGTCTTAGACCACTTCGGCACCTGTATCTTTCCCACCTCAAAGCACCGATTCAAGCACACGGCCCTCTGAACATCCTTCTCCTCATTCTAACCTGGCTGTCTAATAAGACTTCAGTCCACCTACCCTTCAGCTTTCTCCCCGTCTAGCAGTCTCCTTTGTTCTCCCTGCCCCTTCCTATCCGCTTAGACTGTCCTGCCCTTGACTCCATCTGGCCTCTGTCCTAAACTCCCTCGTCCACTGCCTAATCGCTGCACTAATCTAGCAAAAACTCAACCCTGGATGGCGCTCAGTCCTATTTATTCAGCTCCTAACACAGTACTCTTCACACAGTAGGTGCTCAACAAAAAGGTTACGGATGGGTGGGTGGGTAGATGGATGGATGGAGGAAGGGATGCTGGTCTAAGCAAAGCTAAACATTACAGCACGGAAGAGCTGCTCAGGATCTTTGACACTGTGTTTCTTAAGTTTATCTGACCACAGAAAACCTTCGATTCACAGCAACAGTTAACATCTTTTGCTAACAATACCATTTTAGGAAACTGTTCAACACGCAGCAGCAAAGTCCCAACAACAAAACAAAAAGTAATGTGTTCTCAAAATTCCCAATCACACCAGCATATCTGCAAAATCCTGCTAAAAGGAGGACATTTTGACTCTTAGCTAAATGTATCTTTTTAAGAGTTCCTGGATCAAATATGTAGATAAATTAAAGAAGTATGAAGTTGAAGCATGGGAGAGCACTAAGGAAAAAAGAAACAAGATATATTTGTATGCTCCTCTATGCATCCAAGGCACTGGTTATAAAAGCAGTGCATTGCTTACCTGAATAAAGTTACCACGCTCTCGTTAGTTGCCGCCACCTCCTCGGCTGAAAGCATACTCAGAATTGACGCTTTCAAGAATACATATGTTGCCTTGAGGAAGAGAAAAAAAGCATCTAATTATAGAAGACTCCTAGGTACATGACATTTCTACCTCGCAATCAGGAATGACCTACACATTTTCCATATGTAATATTTAAGGGGCATCAAAGAAATAAAAGAAAATGAAATCTTATATTGTCTGTTCCAAATGAGATTAACACTTTTCACTTTCTTCTGACCATTCTTCTATTATACAACTATAGTGCTCATGGGTAAGAAAATGGACAACACGAACAAGAGATCATTATCTCATTCCTCCCAACTTCTCACAAATGTATCAGAATCAATGTTTATTATGAAAACCTTTGTCATCAGGCCACTGGAAAGTCTACAATAAAGTATCAAAGCTATTCACATTTAATAACTTTTCACCATCAATGCAGTTCATCTTTAGAGGTAAAGCTTTGGTTGAAAAAAACTCTTTGGCCCTGGCCGGTTTGGCTCAGCAGTTAAAGCGTCGACCTGCGGTCCAGAGAGACCCAGGTTCGGTTCCCACTAAGGGCATGTACCTTGGTTGCAGTTTGTCCCCGGCCCTGGTTGGGTTGTGCAGGTGGCAGCCACTCGATGTGTCCCTTTCACATCGATGTTTCTCTCTCTCTCCCTCCTACTCTATCTGAACAAAATATGAAAAAATGTCCTCGGGTGAGGATTTAATAAAAAAAAAAAAACAAAAAAACTCTTTGGATGGCTTTTAAAGTATGAAGTACTGCCCTGGCTGGTTTGGCTCAGTGGTTGGAGTGTTGGCCTGTGGACCAGAGAGTCCTCGGTTCGGTTCCTGCTAAGGGCACATACCCCAGTTGCAGTTTGTCCCCAGCCCTGGTTGGGGTCGTGTGGGTGGCAACCAGTTGAAGTGTCTCTCACATCGATGTTTCTCTTCCCTGCCCCCCGATCTATCTGAAGACAAATGCAAAAGTGTCCTTGGGTGAGGATAAAAGTAAATAAACAAACAAACAAAGTATGGAGTACTAAGGACAGTGGTTACAAGCAATAGGTGCCAAATGTGCATTTCCTCCTATGACAAATCTCTAAGTTGAGAAAACCATGTTGATGTCATACTGCTGAACAAATAGACCCCATAAGTCCTGTGTACTTATTAGCAAATAAATGACATTAATAAAAGCACTGCATGCCCTGGCCAGTTTGGCTCAGCAGTTAGAGCATCGGCCTGCGGTTCAAAGAGACCCGGGTCCAGTTCCCGCTAAGGGCGTGTACCTCGGCTACAGTTTGTCCCCGGCCCTGGTTGGGTCGTGTGGGTGGTGGCCACTCGATGTGTCCCTTTCACGTCGATGTTTCTCTCTCTCTCTCCCTCCCACTCTATCTGAACAAAAAATGGAAAAAATGTCCTCAGGTGAGGGTAAAAAAAAAAAAGTAAAAAAAAGCACTGAATTTTACCTTGGACCATTTGCTCTCTTTGCAAAGCAGGTCTGAATAGTAAAACGCCTTCATCCAGTTTTGTTGGAATATATTAATCCACATCAGCTCCCAGTAACAGAGATGGTGAAATTGTTTCCATTCTTCTTGAACTGAAATGCATTTTTGAAATACCTCTTGTGCCTATAAGTCAATTGTATAAAGCTGATCATCCAGATATTATACAAGGAGATAATAACCTAATGGAAAAATACATAAAACACTTTGTACAAAAAGAACAAAATCATCACTCATTAAACCACTCAATATGATGCTATGTTCCTTTTCTTACAAGCAGTGATACAGTTAATTTCTGCCTCTTTGCTTAACTTTTGGAGAGGGCCATGAAACTTTATAATGTGGGAATGGGAAAGTTATAAAATGCAGTAAGATACAAAATGTAGATATAAAATGTAGAAGTCCTTTAAGAAAAGACAATAAAAGTCAGAGCTTTCAAAGGGTCAAATAAACCTTAAACAAAGTTAAAGGTAATGGACAGACTGGGAGAAGATATCACCACCTATGTAACTGGCAAAGATTAACCCCTTATCATACAACAATTTTATCAACTCAATGGGAAAATTGTCAAAGATGAATAGGCAAAGCAGAAAGATACACAAGTAACAAATATACACATGAGGAAATTTGTAAACTAAAAAATATAAATTTAAAAATTAGGTTATCAGCCCAGCCAGTATGGTTTAATAGACTGAACATTGTCCTATGGACTGAGAGGTTCCGGTTCAATTCCCAGTCAGGGCACATGCCCGGGGTTTGGGCTTGATCTCCAGTAGGGGGTGTGCAGGAGGCAGATGATGGATGTTTCTCTCTCACATCCATGTTTCTCTCTCTCTTAAAAATCAATAAAAATATATTTTAAAAACAAAAATTAGGTTATCATTTTTCAGCCAAGAATGAGGCAAAAATAAAACAATAATGTCCAGAGTGGGCAAAGAGTACTGGAAACAAATATTCTTATATCTTTACAAGAGTTTAAATGGAATAGTCTTAAGTTAGGAGGGCAATCTGGCAATTTATCAAAATGCAAACATCTTTGACCTACAAATCCTAATGAACAGAAAGTTTTATATATATACACTTACACACACACACACACGCACAGAAACATACACATAATCATGTTTACAACAGCACTGTTTATAGTAGCCAAATGTCTATCATCAGTGGACTGCTTTATAGTACATCTATCCCAAGAAATGACACCCAGCCATCAAAAAAAATGAGTGATATTGAGATACACTGACCTGGAAAGAAATTCAAGAGGTATTTTAAGTAGGAAAAAAACAAATCAAATTAAAATACAGCCCTGGCCATTTTGGCTCAGCGGTTGGAGCGTCGGCCTGTGGACCAGAGAGTCCCGGGTTCAGTTCCTGCTAAGGGCACATACCTCGGTTGCAGTTTATCCCCAGCCCCAGTTGGGGTCATGTGGATAGCAACCAGTCGATGTGTCTCTCTTACATTGATGTTCTCTCCCTCCTGCTCTATCTGAAGATAAATGCAAAAATGTCCTCGGGTGAGGATAAAAAAAAAAGAAAGAAAGAAAAATACATGTTTGACCCCATTTGTATAGAAGAAAATTATTTGTGAGAATGTTTATATAAAAGGCTCTTCATCTTCTTCTTCAAGGGAATTACTGAATAATTTCCTTTGATGAGGAGCACACATGTAGTACAGTGAGGTTGTAGCTTATGAAGGGGCTAGATTTCCAAATCAATATATAAAATAAAAACTGATAATAGCCCTGGCCGGTTTGGCTCAGCAGTTAGAGCGTCGGCATGCGGTCCGGAGAGACCCGGGTTCGGTTCCCGCTAAGGGCACGTACCTTGGTTGCAGTTTGTCCCCGGCCCTGGTTGGGTCGTGTGGGTGGCAACCACTTGATGTGTCGCTTTCACGTCCATGTTTCTCTCTCTCTCTCTCCCCCCCACTCTATCTGAACAAAATATCGAAAAATGTCCTCGGGTGAGGATAAAAACAAAACAAAACTGATAATAGTCAACTTTTTAAAAAATCCCTTAAACTGTCCACCTGTATTATGTATACTCTACTGTGCACTGCTTCACGTACTTTATGTGGCAATGTAAACTATAATCAGTAATCTACTACATATAATAGATTGCACACACAAAGTTTAGTTTTGGCTTTTTAATTACATATTTTTTTCTTTATTTCTGGCTAGTGCACATAGCCAAATTTACTTATGTTGAAGGAGTATGCGATGCAACTCTGCCACACAGACAACTCTTCAAATAACACCCCCTAAACAAATTACCTTTTCTACATTCCCTTTCAGCAGCTCTATTCGGGCATGATAAAACAACATGAGTGAGCCCTATGGAGAAAGAAAGAAAACAGATTGTCAGTGTTCAGCCCCGATCAATGGATTATGGTTGAAACATGCACTTGAAATTCTAGGCATACATTTGGAAACTGCTGGAGGAAGGGTGCAAGGAGGTTCTCCGCTTCCATGAGGTTCACCTCCCCTGTACCTAGAAATCAAACAGGAAAAGCCTCAGTCTTCAGGAAACATGGTAGATACTTATCATTAATTCTCCAAATTTCATTAAAACATAGCAAAGGCCTATTCATGGAAAAGATGAAAACTGTTCATTTGTCATTTTTACATTTGGAAAATAAAATAAGACAAGTCTCATCTACGACTTTCATTTAAGAAAGCTCTAGGATAGACTAATTCTTCGGAACAGAGGCGGTGGTCTTAGATTCCCAGTTGGAATTTCTGGTTGTAATAGAAACGGTAACTTATTTTAGCCCAAATTTTAACTTAAAGGGAAATCTAATATGAAAAGGCTAACAAGATCACCTTACACAAGTTTTATAGAATTTTTTGTAGCTAAGAACAGATTTAAAAATTTAATGAAAGAAACCCTCCGCGCCCTTGACAGATGTCACTATTTTCTGTCTTTACCCATAAATAAAGAAATAAACAGATATAGACGACTAGCGCTTACTGATTTTTCTAAATTTTTTCTTAGATGAAAGATAAACAACTGCCAGCAACATAACATGTAATCCAGAACGTACCAAGTATTAGGGAGATATAAGTGTGAAAAGACAGTATAGTTAGGCAGCACAGTGAGGACCTCATGCTTCTTCCTGATGCTCCTTCGTGCAACTGCCGGAGGCCCAGTTCCTGTGGGAATTAAATGCATTTTTGAATGAGAAGAGAGTGACTGAAAATCATATTCCGAAATTTTAAAATGCTAGTTCATGTATCCCCACCCTCCACGAAGGTGGGTTTATTTTTCAAGAGCACAGAATAGTCCTAATTCCTAAGTAGAAACAAACTTTAGGTTTTAAAGCGGCATCAGGCAATCTCACAGATTCTTTTATGTCATGATTCTAGGGAGAGAATAAAGCAGAGCTCATTTCGTAAAAATGCTGTATTTCTCTGATATAAATATTAATTTATTAAAACATATTGAGGATCTAAGTGGAAGGCACTCTGGTGAGTATGAACAATATGGTTCTGTGTCTGCAAAGACCTTTCCGGCAAAGAGAGAAGACAGTTTATGAACATAGTTTTATTAGAATATAGTGAATGCCACATGCAAGATGAGCGGTCAAGGGGAAGGGTAATCATTAAACACAGAATCTGAATAGAAAGAACATATCATGAAGAAATCACCATGAGTACATAATAGCTTATGGGGAACCTGGACAGTAGAATAAATGAGTGGAAAACTGTATGTGTTCTCATCCATTTCTTAAAACCTGTTGTCTTAACTAACAGGGACAGCTTTTGCAATAAGGCAACTCTGGTAATAGCATATGATTAATAAATGTTATACACTACAAAACAACCACATTGAAATACAATAAACAAAACTCATGAAAAACAAATTTCCTTGCTTAGTTTTATAGTGAAGCTTGTAAAAACATAAGGAAACCCAAAATACTGCATCTATGCTTGATCCATGTGAATGATAAAATGTTAGACTTGGAGCCCGGCAGGTGTGACTCAGTGTTGAGCACTGACCCATGCACGGAGAGGTCACTCGTTTGATTCCTGATCAGGGCACATGCCGAGGTTGTGGGCCCCATCCTCAGTGGGGGTCATGCAGGAGGCGACTAACTGATGTTCTCTCTCATCAATGTTTCTCTCTCTCTCTCTCTCTCTCTCTCTCTCTCCCCCCCCCCTCCCTCTCCCTTCCTTTCTTTCAAAAATCAATCAAGGGGAAAAAAAATTTTTTAATGTTAGGCTTGGAAATCTAGCCAATTTCCTGGTTTTACACAAAACTCTGGGTTTGCAAAATGTTAAGAAAGCAAATTTGAACCATACAAGTGTACAAAAGGTCCAGGAAGCAGCAATATAGGGTGGGACAAAAGTAGGTTTACAGTTGTGAGTACACAAAACAGAGTTTATTATTCTTGTGTCATTATTTATTAATTATTGTTTTATTGGCCATATAAAGAAAACTGTAAATCTACTTTTGCCCCACCCCGTATTAGTAAAATAAAATTTTTAATTCCAGAATTTAGATAACAAAGACCAAAAAAAATTTAACTTTCAGTAGAAAAATTATCTCTAATTTCTAAAAAACATGATCAAGAACCAATGGCTCTTTATTGTCCTGCAAACAAATTGCCAATAATTGTCATGTTAGTTATGAAGACATGTTGCATTACTCTAATATTCAATAAATAATGTTTTATCTTCACTGTCAAAATTAAGATAAAATTAAATTTGTACCCTATTTCCAGAAAATCCTATAAATTCTAGTAGTCTGATAATCCGTGCTGGTAAAAGGGACAGCATCTGTAAAAAAAACAAAAACAAGTGTACTCACATGTTAGTGTATCTAACTGTAGATAAACATTAAACTCCAAACAACTTCAAGTGTTAATGACTCAGTAATATGAAAAATTAGAACCACGTTCAAATCACCAAACATGTCTCAGTGATCACATACTACACATGTTGCAATCATTACTTATAAATTCGTTTCATTTAGCTAAGACAATAACCTAAATAAAAAGTTTAAAAAAAATAAAAACCTGGCCTTTTCAGCCTGCTCTAAAGAATACTTGCTCCTTTCATGTGTAGTAATGAAATGATGAGCAGGCAATTCCTCAGTGCCCACCTTCCCAACAAGGCTTCTTTTAGCACCCTCTTCCGAAGCAGAAGTCTACTGTAGCCTGCATGATATGTGGGCACCACCCAGAAGCCCACAGCTCTAGCACAACCACCTGTCTGGGTCGGCCCTGGAGAGCAGAGGGGAAGGAAATCCTCCCAGAGCTTCGAGCACTGCACCTGGTTGTTCACCTTGCTTGGAAGGAGAAATGGACAGATGTGTGATTACCTACGATTCATGGGCTGTAGCCAATGATTTGGTGGATGGGCAGGGATTTGGAAAGAACATGATGGGGAAACTGATGACAAGAAGATCTGGGGAAGAGGTGTGTGGATAAACCTCTCTGAATGACAAAAGACATGAAGATATCTGTGTCCCATGTGAATGTTCACTCAAGGCTGACCTCATCAGATGAGCATTTTAATTATCCAGTGGATAGGGTGACCCACTCTGTGGACAGTAGTCAGTCTCTTTGCTCAGCAACCTCTCAGCGACCCATGGGCTCATGAACAAAGTGTCCATGGCGGCATATACCCTCGTGCATATGAATCCCTTTAACAATTTATTTTCTCAACAATTCTAGTCACACCTTAATAAAATTTCCAAATCTCTAACATATCACAATTTGACAGATCCTACTCACACACTTCATCTCTCCCAGAGCATCAAAATCATTCCCCAAGTTGGATCACTCCTTCACCTATTTTCAGTTCCAGAGCCACAACAATATTTCTGACGTGGAAATGCAACTGGATTCCAAGCTCCTTGTTACTGAAAAAGGTTACTAGTCCATTCAGGATGCTACCTGCGTCCCTTATTGTACAAGCCAAAGCTAGTCTGAGCACGTGCAGGACTTGACAACACACACTGACCAAAGCCCGCACTGGCTCCCAACAGAAGCAAACTGATGCCACTCTAGCCACTCATCAACCAAGCCCAGGCGGAGCTTCAGGGTGAGGTTCAAATGCAGTACAGAAGGCACTGAAAACCTATGATTCTTCTACAAAAGATTCTGGTTGATACACAGTTACTTACTTACCAAATTAAAGGTCCCTATTCCGAGTTTGACACCCCCTTCAAACTCACTGAAGAACTGTTGCTCAACTTTGTTCTTCTGAAGTATATGCAGGATAGAAAGACAGTCTCTGGATTGAAGAAAAAAGATGCAGCGTAAGTCTATCATGATTCTGAAAACTACTGTTAAGTCAAATTTCACACTTACATACCATAAAATAATTGTGATTAGCCAAAATACCACAGAACATTTAAGTGGACGTTGCTGTGCTGAGTTTTATTTACTCTTAAGGCTACTGGGTAATTATCAGTAAGGAAAAATGATATACCCATTTTTACACTGTTTATCAGGACCGATCCTTCTGGGCTTAAAGCAAGAGAGGGTTCAAACACCAGCAGGTAAGTGTGGCTCAGGAGACACAGGACTGCAGGACCGGGGTCTCAGAGCCAGTGTGTTGGAAGGGACGTCCTAGGTGCAGCCCATTCCTCAGCTGCTGGGCACGCCGCAGCCACCCAACCTCCACCAAGTAACAGAGATGCCACTGACAAAAACATTGAATTTCAGTGTGATCGCCATGGTCTCCAACAGACCAAATCAGTTAGAGTTTGTGACTAGGAAAGACTTAAAGAGGAAAGCAAATTCCATCACAATGTCTCCATTTGTCCTCTTACTTTTTCCCGTTTCATCTAAGCGAATCTTTCTGATTACTCACTTTAATATCTTTCTATGCATTTCTCCCTTTCCCTGCACATCTTCAAAAGAGAAATGCAAACTAAACATGACAAAGATATAAAAATTTATAACCAGGAATTGCTTATCAAATTGGCAAATATATTTTTAAAAGGCATTAAACACCAGATAGTATGTATCATATTACGTGATGTTAATTATAAAGCATGAACCTGAATCTAGTAATCCTGTCGATCAACTTCTAGTTTACAGAAAATATAAGGAGCTATGAACTTGAATTTAATAATTGTATTGTGGTTCTATAAGATGTTAACTTTTGTGAATCTGAGTGAAGAATATCTGAACATTCCTATAAAAATTCTGAAATTATGTCTACGGCCATACCACCTTGAACATGCCCGATCTCGTCTGAAATTATTTCCAAGTGAAAAAATTTTTCATGTAAAAGTCTTTGTACTTTAGGATTATGAAAATACTTTTCTAAGTTTGATTAGTACTCTTTTAAAAATCTTCTAACATTAAATCTATATGGAATTTATTTTTGTAGAGTCTTTTTTTCCAAAATGAAGACCAATTTTCTCAAAACCACTTATTAAAGTACTCATCTTTCTCCACTGTTTTGAAGAGTTTTATTTACATATAGAAATTCAGCATATTTTAGTACACACAAGTGCATACACACACAGTGTATGTTTCAAAACCCTTTGTGCTGTTCCACTGATACATGTGTCTGTGCCATTATAAGACTACTGTAATTTCTTTAGTTTTTTAAGTCTTGATGACTAGAAGCAATCAATTCTAACATTCTTTTATATCTTCTAAAAATATTTTGAGAAAAAGACTAAAAGCAGGATGCCTCAATCCACACTTCTCCAGGATTTTTCAATGGAATATGATTTTATGAAATCATCTTAGATAAAAGTATCTCTTACAACACTAAATTTTGGCTCTGCTTTCACTAATGGAGAACTGCTTCTAGGAATGGCAGGGTGGTTTACATTGGGTTAACCCTCCCACAGATAACAATTACTAAACTCTAGAAAAAAATGCAAAGTGTATATATTTAAAATACATTCACAGGCACTGGAACGTGAAGAAAAACAAGCAGCCAGAAGCCCTGGCCGGTTTGGCTCAGTGGTTAGAGCGTTGGCCCGCGGACCAGAGACACCCGGATTCGGTTTCTGCTAAGGGCACGTACCTCGGTTGCAGTTTGTCCCCGGCCCCGGTTGTGGTCGTGTGGGTGGCAAACATTCGATGTGTCTCTCTCACATTGATGGTTCTCTCTCTCTCTTCCTCCCTTCTTCCTCCCTCCAGTTCTATCTGAAGATAAATGCAAGGGTGTCCTTGGGTGAGGATTAAAAAAAAGAAAAGTAGCCAGAAGCTAGGGATGATTTGACTTTTAAAGAATAAACAATTCCTGAGTGGGTTTTATATTTATATGACTAAGCACCTAAAAGTACTCCCTAGTCCACTCAATATGGGGTGCCTAGCACTTACACAAAAAGACACAGTCTTATTTGCTTAAAAAGTAAGAACAGAGCCCTGACCGGGTGACTCAGTTAACTGGAGCATCGTCCCATGCACCAAAAGGTGTGGGTTTGATTCCCAGTCAGGGCACATACCTAGGTTGCGGGTTCCATGCCCAGTCCGGGTGTGTTTTGGAGGCAACTCATCGATGTTTCTCTCTCACATAAATGTTTCTCTATCTTTTTCTCTCTTGGAAGTCAATGAACATATCCTCAGGTGAGGATTTTAAAAATTTTTAAAGTAAGAGTAAAAAGTTTAAGATGGCCAAAGTGGCTGTGGGTAATGGGCAAATTTTCAGATGGAGGAGAACCATATAAGAGAAAAAACCACTCAAATTCTTGGCTGACCCATGAACTATGTGAGTGCTGAGGACACTCCAAAGAAAGGCAGAAGCAAGACAGAAAAAAATAATGTAACCAAGATTTCAGATGCTGCCCACTACTAGAAAGTAAGAGTTTGGAATCTAAGTCTAGTCAAGCTAAATATTCCCTTGAACAAAAACCAGCACCCTTGTAGTCTCTACAATGTATCAATATCTAGTGTATAATTAAAAGATTAGTGACATGAGAACAGAAAAATATGACAGATAGTCAAGAGAAAAAGCAAGCAATAAAAATGGATGCCACAATGGCCCAGATATTGAAATAATATCCAATCAGAAAAAAAAATGTTTTTCAAGGAACAGCATCTAGGTGACCTATTAACAAAATCAGGCTAATACATAATTGTAGTCTCAGAAGGAGAAGTGTAAGAATGAAGCAGAAAATAATATTTGAAGAAATGGCCACAAAATTTCTCCAAGTCACACTTAAGCACATCAGAGTCAAACTGCTGAGAACCAAAGACACGAACGAGTCCTCAAAGCAGCCAGAAGAAATGACACATTACAGACAGGGAAACAATAATACGTACAAGTAACGGCTGACTTTTAATTAGAAACAATGGAGCCCATTATACAACGGGTTGACAGTTTTAAAGAGGTAAAAAGAAAAAAGAAAAAAAAAAACACCTAGTTAACTCAGAATACTATATTGAGCAAAAGCAGCCTTCAGAAAGAAGGCAAAAATAAAGGCATTTTCAGATCATGAAACAAAGAGAACTTTTCTAGCACTACTAGAAATACTAAAAGAAATTCTTCAGTCTGAAAGTATTCAGGAATGAAGAAAGAGCACCCAAAATGGTAGATACATGGATACATAAAGAAGGCTATAAGACTTCTTGGCTGTCAAAAGATTGACACTGCATTGTGAGGTTTATAATACAAATATATGCACTATCACAAGAATAGTATAAAAGACAACAGGTGGTAAATGAAACTATACTTCTGCAAAGTTCTTATATTTTATGTTCAATGGTACAATATTAGCTCTAAGTTGATAGTGTAGTGATAAGAAGTATATTGTAGCCCTGGTCTGTTGGGCTCAGTAGTTCAAGTGCCGGCCCATGGACCTAAGAGTCGCAAGTTGGATTCCAAATCAAGGGCATGTACCTGGGTTGTAGGTTTGATCCCCAGCCTGGTCATGGTCATGCAGGAGGTAACCAATCGATGTCTCTCACATCAATGTCTGTCTGTCTGTCTGTCTCTCTCCCTCCCTCCCTTTCACTCTATCAATGAAAAAAATATCCTCAAGTGAGGAGTAACAACAACAAAAAAAATATATTGTAATCACTAGAGCAACCATTAAAAAATTAAAGATGGCTAAAGCTAATAGAGGGCTTACACAGAAAGAAAAAATATATATATATATAATTTATTAAAGCAAAAGAAGGAGAGAAACTAATGAGGCAAAGAGAGAAAACCAAAATGGTAAGCACAAGTGTAAACACATTGTCATACTGAATTAAAAAGCTAGACACAATTATGCACATCTACAAGAAATGCAATTTAACTATTTTAAAAAGATAGGTTTAAAGTAAAAGAATATATGTCATGCAAACACTAATTATAAAAAGAAAACATGAATAGCTATGTTAATATAAGAAAAAACAGATTTCAAGACAAGGAATATTATAAGGAGTTAAGTAGGGACAATTCATAGTGATAAAAAGGTTAATTTATTAGAAAAATAAACCAATTAAAATATGTATAAGCCTAACAATAAAGGTTCTAAGTATACAAAGCAAACACTGATGTAACTAAAGGGAGAAATAAATAACTCAGAATCAAAGTTGGAGATTTTTAACATTGTGAGTAAATGATAAAACCACTAGCTGAAAATCAGAAAGGATATAGAAGATATGAACAAAAGCATGGTCTACCTTAATTGAAAATTTGAATTACTGCAGAAAATTCTATTGGGCAATACTGCTCTAGAGGTTGGACCAAAGATAGACCTCTCATTTTAAATTTATAAATTATTTTAGAAGAGAGATACTAAGATTATCTAATCATAAATTGCCAGCTATTTTTCCCTTAAAATTACATTTAAACTTAAATTCTGTTGTCCGACAGCATTAAATATATACTCAGTAAGCCAAAAATCAAGTGCACTTTTACCAACATCAAATAAAGAAAAAAAAAACCCGAGTCACACTTAATGAGAATTTTGAAGTACAAAGTGGCACATGATACAGGAATCCTTTAAAAACCACATGACAATGGTCAAAAGGTATAAACTTCCAGTTATGAGATTTTAAAAGCCCACATCTTAATTTTCAACTTACTTATATATATGGTAACTTGTTCTAATTTTGAGTCCACCTTTGATGAAGTTGATCATATTTTCATCCTGAAAACAATTCAATTAAATAATTAGATCACTTAGCAAGAGATTCTTAAACTTTCTCCATAGCCATGCAGTTGTGTGATTAGAACAAGATACTATCTTTTGAGTCATAACCTTTTAATGAAAACATTCTTCTTTCTTTACATTTGAAACGCTTTTTTGTCATTTTTCTTCCAAGTTAGAGGACAACAAAAGAACATTTTTTAAATCACCAAATTACTTTAAGGAAGTAATTACAGAAATAACCCTCACCAATTAGGGGCCATATAAGTTAGTACAAAATTACTTTGATGTGCATCATCATCTACTGAGCAACTTTCTTCTGGGCTCCAAAATGGTCGGCTTTGAGAATACGCTGTAAGCCCTAACTTTCCTGTCCCTGTCTGTATGTTCCAGTAAATGGGATTATGGTTCTTTTTCACAGAGTTGTTTTAGCAGGCAAAGTCCATTTATCATTGTGAATTTCATTTGTATACATTTCCAGACTAAAAATAACTCCTCAGGATTCTAAATTTATTCTCACTAACATGCAGTTTTCTTTGGGGGCAAAAGCACTTCACTTTGTCTAATGGTTATCAACCACAAAACTGAGGCAGTTGGCTTAAATACATGGCATTTTTAGCATTCTAGGATTCTAAGAGTCTCTTAATAAAACATATATGAAATAACTGCTTAAAGGAAGTTACTACAGGGTTGGCAAAAGTAGGTTTACAGTTGTTCCTATGGAAAATAGTAATACCAGAATCAACTCTGTCTTGTGTACTCACAGCTGTGAACCTACTTTGGCCCCACCCTGTATAGTAGATAATGCAAATGGAGATGGTCCTGTTTCACATTTCCAAGAATATCTATTAATATCAGAAAGATGCTCTGGCATTTATTTCCTGTGCACTTGAACATCCTTCTGAAGCAAAAGAAAAACTGATTTTAGTTTGCTAATTTCATTAATTACTTAGAATATCAAAATTGGAATTATTATAAGAATTAATAAATACATAATTCACTGTACAATTTAAAGTTTTATCTTCATAATTGAAGGACTGTTATGATTATACAAGTTGCAATAATGGCCAGGATAAAATTTCTTAAATTAGATTAAAATCGACCTCAAATAAGAATATTTTATTTCATAATTCACCAAACATTGGCCAAATGCCTATTTTACACCAGGCACCTGAATGCAGAATTAGACAAAAGCAATGCAATGTGCTAAGGGATGGAGACCACATTTGATGGAGACATGCACAGCAGGATGTCATGAGAGAACAAAGGTGGGAGGGCTGGGGCACAGGAAGAATCCACAAAAGCTCCTAGAAGTATCAGTGCTTAAAGCGCGCACGCGCACGCACGCACACACAAACACACACACACACACAGATTAGAAGTGGCCCGGAGAGGAAAAGCAAAGCAGATATAAACTTTGCAAGCAAAGGAAAACTCAGCGGGAAGGCAAGGGAGCAGTACAGATCACGGTGTGCTTGGCCTGCTGTGTTGTGTAACTCAGCACTGCCGCAGGAATCTACAGCAAAGAAGGGAATGACTAGGGAGCAATAAAGCCACCTCTACCCATGCCACTCAAGTATGCAACATACCTACCATCTGAGGACATCAGTAAGAGGGGAGCAGGGAATTTGGGGGAGATACCGGTTTAGTTTGAAAAAACTTCCCCCATTTCTGGTATTCTGATACAGAACCACTGCTATAGTCCATGAGAATTACTAATGCTGAAGCAGAGAAATGACAAAGGGAGGTTCTCATGTTTGAGAGGGTGCTCAACTGCACAATGGAGAATGAGCTAGAGGTAAGAGAAATTACAGACAGAGTCACTGGGTTGCTGTCCAGTCTAGGGAAGAGCTGATGAGCACCTCCGCTAGAACAATTATAGTCCGAAGAAAGAAGAAGACAGAGAGTTGTGAAATCTTCAAAAGATAAAAGAAGCATGACCAAGAAACTGACTGGACCTGGGGGCACGGAAGAGGGAAGCCACCGATATCTCCTGGATGGTTAATTACAAACTCCAAAGCATAAACTAAGCCTTCAAATTATAGATTTGTCAAATCCCCATTTGGAAAACACAACAGAAAAAAAGTGAAGGCCTCTGTGACTAACATGTTTATTAAGGCAGTAAGACTTGATTTTAATATGTTGGGTTTTAGGAAACAGGGTCATAGGCTAGATTGATTTAATTTTACTAAACCAGAATCCAACCTAAGAGGTCAACCTTCAGTAAAAGACAAAATCAACTCTCAATGCAATGCGAAACATTGAGATTGAGGAAGACTTTTCATTTTACAGCTGAATTCCTGCCCTCTTACAATCTCTACCCCACAGCTGCCCCACTGTGTCCATCACTGCCGCCCATGTGGCCATGTTAAAATCCATGTTTTTTAGAAGCACTGGAAAATACAATGATAGGTACTCACTGTAACAGTCCCTAGAGATGAAATTAAAATGCTCCATAAGAAAAGAATTCATGTGTTTTTTAGTGACTTTTTAGAAATGTTCATCCAACGGAAGAACTAAAAGCAAGCCATGGGGATGAGAATAGGAAGAGGGAGAAAAATAACAGCTGAAGTATGCATGAAAAGTGTGGCTCTCTATGCATGCGTAACTGAGCTTTGCTGAAGCATCTGGTGCAAGAAGGGAATGCCAAGGACCAAGGAAGCCTTGTATGCCGGGGCCACTCCTGTGTGTAGCCCTCGATGACAGCAAGCGCAGAGAGAGAGAAGCTCAGTTTTCATACAGAGAAGCATCCTAAAATTAGGTGTGGTGCTTGCGAGACAGTTTCTTTAAAGGGCAGCAGTTCCCCGTGAACTGACATTTAAAACACGCTAAGTACATCTAAACAGGAATAAAGCTCCCTGGGATCTTTTTTCAGCCCAAGTTTATCAGAATAACAAACATCTTTCATGGCCACTCTAAGTCCAAAGAACTGAAGCACCGACACAGAGTAGCCAGGTTTTCCAGGGAGGGTGGCCGGGCTTGCCCAGCAGTGCCGACTCGAAGGCAAAGGTTCATTACCTGCACAAACGTGAGGGCTGCTTTCTGCAGGAGACACTCGGCATAACAGATTTCGGCATGCATTTCCTCTATTAAAAACAAATAAAATCACATTAAGGAAAATCCCAAGGCCACAGTAACTGTTCTGAGATGTTCGGAAAAGACTGATAGATAAACGAGCCCAAGAGAGACGCAAAAACCTCGACTGTTCTGATGCCTCCATGAAAGCGGAATAATGACCTCAGTCCGCAGTCTCCCGGCAAGAGTTTCCCAGAATGCCTGAAATGGTTCCGGAAAGTCATCTTATGGTCCCAGTCAAATGTAAGGACAAGGAGTCGGGCAGTTGGCTTCAGAGACCCAACTCAGCTCACAAGAGGAAACCAAATTTTAAAAACATTTTTTAAAAAGAAAACCATGTCTTTTTAACAGCAACATTCAAGTTTAACACAGTTATAAAGATTGAAAAAACTAACTTAAATTTATGAATTCCAGCTTCTAAAATATGAAGCTATGATAACCATGGCAATGATTAGACACATCACTGACCTGAAAAGAAAACAGTCGCTCGCTAGGGCTCTGTGGAAAAGACCTGCCCCGCATGCACACTTGGCTCCTCACACAAAGACGATGTGCACACGAGCACAGTCTCGGGCTATTTTGATCACTGCGACACCAGGCACAGGAATAAAGCCCTGAAAATGGGGCTCTGTACAGCTTGTATATCCCAGGGGCACACAACGGGCCTCAAACACATGGCCTTTCTTCCCAAACAATCCGTTATCCTTGCAGAAACTGCGCAGGAGGGAATCTTTGCATTAAAAACATCAGCAGGCCCCTGTCTTATCCATGAGATACAAGTCGGTATTTTATTTAAGTAAATGAGTGTGGGGTGTTTAACAGCCTGGGTTGGAGGGAAGCTCTGCCAAGGACTGAGCTGTAGGACCTCCAGAAAGCCCCCCGCCTTTCTGCGCTGGTTTCCCCATTTACACAGGCTGGCTATGGTGTCTTCTTCACAGCTGAAGGACCCACTGAGGTGCTTCCCGGACAGTGCACCATTCAGAGAGCACGCGGCATGTGCGTTACTTTCACTAACATTGCAGCCCTGGGCCAAGGTCGTGCTTTTTGCTAAAAGCTCAGAAAATGGAATATTTTTTGTGACAGAACTGAAATATAGGGTATTTCTGTGCTAGTGGAAATGCTGTTGAATCAAACCAGGTAAGAACTATTGCTTTCATTTACACACCAGACCTCCCCACCTCACTCACTTACTCCCCCCGCCCCCCACTGGTTCTCACAAATTGGCTCAGCTTCGTGTCATGCTCATACTCCACAGATGGAACTTACAAAGAAGCAACCGTGCAGCTAAGACCCCCCCAAGCACACGCGTACAGATGGGGCCACACGTGAGGAATTAAGGCCTGTGCACATCTGGCAGCATCAACAGGGTCAGTCCTTCAACACGCCTCGCCTCAATACGTGCTTTTGGATTTTCCCAGCATGTTCAGTGGGATAAAAATTGGCAACTTCTGTTCTTACAGTCACCTGAATATCCTCCCCCGAGGTACATCTGTCACAAGTGGGAATTGGTAGGAATTATTCACCCTGCAAGCCTGCTCAGTAACACAGATCGCTGGCGTGGAGCAGGAGCTGAGGGGCGACACTGCTGCTGGGCGGGGACGGCACAGGCAACAGGGCCGGGAAAGCGCAGGTGGCCGGCAGGTGTGCCTTCGGCTGAAGCACAAGGTGTAAAGGGAGGAGTGTCCAATGAGTCTGGAAATGTAAACCTGAGCTACATTATGGACAACCTTGAATGTCAGAGTCTGGGCTCCAGTCAGTAGGCAATGGTGAGTCCTGGCAGACATATGAACAGAAGGGTCACAGGATCAGGGGTCAGCTAGAGGTGGGCAAACCTAAGAGCAGCTGAAGGATGTAAGCAAAAAACAGAGATAAAAGGCAAGAAAGGTTGAACTCTTTATATCATACGTATGCACTGCTCATATTAAATCCCTCTCACATCCTAAGCACTGCATATAAATATCTGTTCTTAAAAGCAATTTGAAAGCCATTCAGGGCAATGCCAGCCACCAGAGAAGAATGGGTGTGCTCCATGTTAAACCCACGAAAAGTTTAACTACGTTCCCTCCTGCACACAACCAGCCACTCAAGGATGTAAATGAAAATTACCAAGAGGAAGAACAAATCACATACTAAAGCTACAATGTTTTGACATGTTCCCTTGAACACAAAGTTTTGACATGTTCCCTTGAACAAAAGTCTTGAACACAAAGTCTGTTTAGGTTGCAGTGACAGCCAAACTCATTAGAAATAAATGCCACTTAATTTATAAAAGTGTTATTTCTTCATAATTCCTTAGTTCACTGAAGGAAATACCATCATTTTGCACTGAAATGTTAGCAAAGCATGCCTGTAGATATAAAAGTCTAAATAAACCTGTATTTCCAAATAGGCTATAGTCATAAATTAATTTATTGTTTGTTTAACTAACTTTATTTTTTAGAGCAGTTTTAGGCTCATAGCACAACTAAGCGCATGGTGCAGAGATTTCCAATAGCCTCTACCCCACACATGCATAGCCTCTCCCACTATCAACACCCCCACCTCTCCCCACAGTGATACATTCGTCACTGATGAACGTCCACTGATAGCATAATCACCAAAGCCCATAGCTTACACTAGGTTTCACTCTAGGGGTTGCACATTCTCTATGTTTGGACAGAGGTATAATGACATGTATCCACCATTATGGTGTCATACAGAGTATTTCACTTCTCTAAAAATCCTCTGCCTGTTCATCCCTTCACCTGACCCCCTGGCAAGCACTGATCTATCTACTGTCTCCATAGTTTTGCCTTTTCCAGAATGTCATACTTGGAATCACATTGGTTTCTTCTACTTACTAATATGCATTTACGCTTCCTCCATATCTTTTCATGGCTTGATAGCTCTTCTCTAGTGTTAAATAATATTCCATTGTCTGGATGTTTATTTATCCATTCACCTACTGGAGGACATCCTGGTTGCTTACAAGTTTTGGCAGTTATAAATAAAGTTACTATAAACATTCACTTGCAGGTTTTCGTATGAACATAAGTTTCAGCTCTTTGAGTAAATATTAATGAGCGTGATTACTGGACTGTAAGGCAAAAGTATGTTTAACTTCATAAGAGACTGTGGCTGAGCTGCTCTGCACCCCTTCGGCCAAGGAGAGTCCTGCTGCTCCACGTGCTCGCTGACACTTCCTCACGTCAGTGTTCCAGATTGTGGACATTCTAATAGGCATATAGTAGTATCTCATTGTTGTCTATTTTTCAATATTTAACAAAAACTAATTTTCTACCTATTTCAGATTTTTTAAAGTGCTATGTCCAAGACATAAAAAAAAAAAAAAACAAGAAGAACACACTACCCTCTATTTTCAAGATGTCTAGCATAGGGACAATTCAACATCTCCCTTACCCATACACCGCACATTCTGTGCCCTTGTCTACATGCCCAGAGGAGAAAAGTTGGGGGTGCAGTGGAAAAGAACCATAGCTTAGGGAAGGGCAGGTCAGGTTTGAACCCTACTCTGCTGAGCCATCTGTTTAATTTTCTGAACATTAGTTCTTAGTCCATAAAAAGGAGGTTACACAGATGAGATTGAGTAACGTTAAGGAAGACATGAAGAACAATGTCTGACACACAGATATAATGGGGCATTAACATTGTTACTTATTAATCATCATCATTATTATTAATACTTACACTAAAAATACTATGTTATTCTTCCCATAACTAAGGTAAAATAAATCTCAACTGTCAGCATAGAAAAAGGAAAGCAGGGGCAATAAGCCACTGGAGAGAAGCCATAGAAAGGAGAACATAAATGAAAGTCAAATTCCTTTTGGGCCCATTTATTTATTTTTTTGTTTTGTTTTGGTTTTTTATTTTTTTGATACATGCCCCTAGCGGGAACCGAACCCAGGACTCTCTGGTCCACGGGCCAACTCTCCAACCACTGAGCCAAACCGGCCAGGGCTTTTGGGCCCATTCAAATTCCCATTGACCTACTTTAGTGAAGTTTAGGACTACTGGGGCCAATTGACATTAATGGCCCAAAGACGGGAAATATGAAGACATATTCTACCCAAAATCAAGGAGATAAAGAAAACTCTTATGGGTTCTTACAGGTCATTTTCTGGAGAAAAAGGAGATGGGCTTCAGCTGCCTGTTGTGACCCATGAAATGCTACTCTGTTCCATAGCGGTTGAAGGGCCAGCATCATACCCTTTAAGAACAAGTCCCATAGTCTTCTCCTGTCATCAGTACTTAGCCTCACATCGTGCAAATGTTGCCAAGTTCTCTAATGTCTACCACAGGTTGACGATAATGCTCACACTCGTAAAGACCAGGAATGACTCGTACCCAGAACTGCTCTTGCCTTAATCAGCCACGGCTACTTCCACTGTTTTGTGCTCTCTTCCAGAGAGTAAGTTTGACCATGGCAACACATGCACCGAGTCTCCTTGGATGGCAGAAGCTTGACTCGAGAGTGGCCACATCTAAAGAACATTATTTTCTCTTCTGCAGGGTATCTTGATGCTCTTTTCTTGTGAACAATTCTGACTAGAGTGTAACACTTAAAAAGCAGAGCTGATACCCAGCCAATATGGCTCAGTGGTTGAGCATTGACCCATGCACCAAGAGGTCGCTGGTTCGATTCCCGGTCAGGGCACATGCCCACGCTGTGGGCCTGATCCCCAGCTGGGGGCAGGCAGGAGGCAGTCAATTGATGTTCTCTCTCATCGATGTTTCTATCTCTGTCTCCTTCTCCCTTCCTCTCTTTCTCAAATCAATAAAGAAAAAACAAACAAACAGAGCTGATTGTGGAAATTCTGCCTGATCTCAGTGGGAACATGAAGCAATTGACAAGAGAGTCATTCCCTCCCCCATCCATCTGATCAATGTGCTATAGCCATTTCTGGATTCTTGAATACTTCCTGAATCTTCACCAACCAAACATCTTCCATACTGTGAAACATTATCAATGTTTTTTAAGGTATCAAAATTACTTCTTTTACCTTGAAAAAAATGTAATAGGTTGCAGAAAAATAGCAACTTTCATACATAGATGGTAAGAATCCATGAAAACACATCCTCAGGTGAGAGGATGGTAAGAAACTGGCCCTGGCTAGTTTGGCTCAGCGGTTAGAGCATCGGCCTGCGGTCCAGAGGGACCAGGGTTCAGTTCCCACTAAGGGCACGTACCTCGGTTCAGTTTGTCCCCAGTCCTGGTTGGGTGTGCGGGTGGCAGCCACTCGATGTGTCCCTTTTACGTCAATGTTTCTCTCTCTCTCTTCCTCTCCCTCCCACTCTATCTGAACAAAAAAATGGACAAATGTCCTTGGGTGAGGATAAAAAAAAAAAAAGAATATAAACTGACCTCTTTGGAGAAAACATAGGTAGTACCTATAAATATTATCAATTTTCAAATCCTAAGTCCCAGTAATTCCACTTTTATGAATCTATCTTCGGAAACACTTACAAAAATATATAAAGACATAGGTACAAGAATTGTAGGACCTGCCCTGGCTGAGTGGCTTAGTTGGTTGGAGCATCATCCTGTACACTGAAAAGTCAAGGGTTTGATTCCCAGTCAGAGCACATACCCAGGCTGCAGGTTCAATCCCCAGTTGAGACATGTGTGGGAGGCAACCGACTGATGCCTCTGTCTCTCTTCCCCCTACCCCTTCTTCTTTCCTCTTTAAAATCCATGAAAACACATCCTCAGGTGAGAGGTTTTTTTTAAAGAATTTTAGGACAGCATCGTTTGTAATTGTGAAAAAATAAACACAATACAACTGTCCTTCAATAGAGCAAAACCAAGTAATTTATGGCACCCCATTCAATGGAATACTACATAGCTATTAAACAGAATGAAGTATAAGTCATATGTACTGGCATGGGAAAACATCATTATCAAAAAAACCATGTATATAATGTGATTCTATGCTTGTAAAAATAAACAATACATGAACTACAAACACCCCACATATACCTTATGTATATTATTTATATATGTACACTGAAAAGTCTGCAAGGCTTCAAAACCAACTACTTCTTGTGGAGGGTATGATGGGGAAAGAGAAAGAAGACATTCCACTTACTTTATATGATATATTTAAGTATTGAATCTTATGAGCATGATCACATTTCAATTTTCCAAAGAAAGGGAAAAAAAATAATCTTTTAAATGACTCTTACCTTCATTCGTCTGCTCCAATGACCCTCTGGAAAGAAAACTGGAGAAAGATTCTACAACCGTGCACTTTTTCCTATATCTGCATAGAATGAGCAGAAGGAAGGAAATAGAAGAGGAAAGTAAATTAGCGCGAGCTCATTTTCATTCGACGTCCACTTCAGTCACCATCACACTAGTCAGCAAGGCAGAGCGCAGCACTAACATCTGCAGGGCAGGACCCCCTTTCAGCCCTGCACCCCACCTCCCAGCATCAGGCTGGCATGCTGTGGGCTCTCACCCCAGCTCACTGAACACACAAGTGGACAAAGCCACACCACACAGTGAACTCCAACCCTGCCAAGCACCTTCCCTGATCTCCGTGGCTGAAGTCAGTATTCCCGGAGTCAGATTCCCCACGGGTGGAGAAGCGAATGGAAGACTGCAACGTTTGAAAGCACCCTCTTCATTCGTGGGGCTTGCAACATCACTGCACGAGCACAGCATCCCACCAGTACTACAGTTCACCTATGCTAGCTAACTGCTTTTGCTAGGGTCTTCCTATACATAGAGCAAAGACTAACATAAAACTGAAGATCCATCTCATTTTCACCAGCCAAAGTGTTCAACTACATTCTTTCTAAGCAAATAAAACATTCCCTTCTGAATTTGCAGCACCTCCCACAGAAAGAAGAGTGTGCCCTGCTCGGCCGGGCTTGGGCCGCAGTTCCTAAATTCACCGCGGGGAGGTCCTCGAGATGCTTGCTGCGGACCCACCGGAATCTCCGCAGCCGTACTCCGTAGTTCAAGTCACCACAGATGCCAAGAATCATTCTATATTTCCTAATAGGAATTTTTTTTTTTTGTCTCTATTACATAAAACTACACGAGACCAAGAGAGCTTTGAAGCTCCAGTCCTTTTCTACAATTGTGGCCAACTTCAAACAGAGCTCTCAGTCCGGCAAACTGTGTTCATTTGATCACAGACATAAAGGTTTGTGGTCCTTACTTTTGGCAGGTGTGCAAGGCGTCCCTCACGGCAGAAATGCCATTTTGGATGTCCTGTTGCTCGAAGGTCATGATGGCCTGCAATACCACAATGGTGCTGTAGCCCAAGGCATGGTACATGCTCTCCTTAGCCCTGGGGGCAACACAGGAAGTCAGCACATTTCAATTTAACTGGAAAGCATTCGGGTGTCATCTAACAGTCACCCTGAGAAATCCTAATACACGCATGTCTTGGCTTTCACAGTGATAATCTTTACTCCTTTACCATAGTCACTTAAGTAATACAGGCAGTATGAGACAGGGCCTAGAACACTCAGGCACTAACGACTTTCCAATGCAGGGCACACAGGCAACACAGAACATTCCGGGTTCAAAGAGAACGAACGAGACAAGATGCTTTTCCCTGCTTCGGCACAAGGGGGCAGCCTGCGGACTCATTTCCTGGAAAATGTTTCCAAGCAAACCACGTCTCCCCAGTTGAACAAGGGGCGGTGCACTATCTTAGCTCTGATGTCCGTGCTAAAATAAAAGCCGTTGGAAATATATTTTGTGACAATCAGATTCTGATGTTTTTTTGAACAATAATGGCCAATTAAAAAAAAAAAAATTGTCCCCTCTCCTCTCCCAGACAGAGGCCAAGAGGAAATATTTTTGCAATAAAGTTAGGTCAGCAGCAAAGGCCCTGACAAAAGCACTATACCTAATCTATACTCTATACCTTAACTCTATACCTAATCTAATCCCGTGATCTGAGATTCCTGATTAAAATTCTTGATACTTTGAGTTAGACAGAATCGCTTGGATTCTTAAGGAGGTCAGTTAGTCCTAACATATGGCAGACATCCCAGATTCTGTGGGGAAAAAAACCTCACCATCACTTTTCCCAAAACTTCTTGAATTATGTTAGTTATTTATAAAATTTTAAATATCAATGCACGATTTTGCTTCTAATTCAAATATCATCACAACAGCCTGCTTGCTGTGCAAAGCACATGCAAGCCACCGTATTCTTTCCCCATGGAAATGGTGTGAACATCCTTCGGGGATCTGCAGTTTGTCCCGAACAGTGAGGGCACCGGCCGGTCAAAAGGACCGCAAGGACTAAGAGCAGCCCACGGTCAGCAACTGTAAATAAACCTCATATTTAAACCGGTAGGTCCTCCAAGAGGAAAACAATTATTCAAGTAGGAAAAATATATGTTTAAGAATGAAACTTGCATAAAGATAAGAGAATATGTAACTCCACTAAATACAATACTAAATCACTTAATTTCATTCCATATTATGTCCGGCTGGGTGTCAGCGGCAGAGAGAAACGGAGACATGTTTGACTAAAAAACGAAGGAGACAGGCAGGCTGGCTGAAAGAGGAGAAAGGAAAAAAGACAGAGGAAGATGGAGGGAGGCAGACACACAAGATGGAGAGATGGAGAGTCGTTGGGGAAAAGAGAGGAGACAGGCAAGGGAGAGGTTGCAGGAGAGGCGTTAGGGACAGCAGTGGACAATTTCTTTAGGCTATGGCTTCACCGCCTATTTTAATATATGTTCCTACCTCTGAAATGCTAATTGACCAAGATCTTCTAAATCTTAATAGAATGATCATTAATTTAAATTAATTTCTAAGCCCTGGCCGGTTTGGCTCAGCGGTTGGAGCGTCCGCCTGCGGTCCGGAGAGACCCGGGTTCGGTTCCCGCTAAGGGCATGTACCTCGGTTGCAGTTTGTCCCCGGCCCTGGTTGGTCGTGCGGGTGGCAGCCACTTGATGTGTCCCTTTCACATCGATGTTTCCCTCTCTCTCTCTTCCTCTCTCTCCCTCCCACTCTATCTGTACAAAAAATGGAAAAATGTCCTCGGGTGAGGATAAAAAAAAAAAAAATTAAATTAATTTCTAAGCTTCAAAGTCAAGGACCAGAATCACATCACCCTGCTGATGGCTCAAAGAAAGGAGACGTCCACTTTTGTGTTCAGCTAACCTTCTAGAAACTTATTCTGTAAGGTCTAAGCTTCATCCAAGTAAGTGGCTGTTTGAAGCAACAATGTTAGAGATTTCCTGCCAAGCTATAGTCACACAGCAGGGTTGGGGACTGTGTTCGAAGTGAGATCTAAGAAGGCTGAGCACAGGTTTCGCTGCCATATTTTTTAAATTAACAGGGTCCTGGCCGGTTTGGCTCAGCGGTTGGAGCGTCGGCCTGCGGACCAGAGAGTCCCGAGTTCAGTTTCCACTAGGGGCACGTACAAAAAAAAAAATTAACGGGAAAAAAACAAATAAAAGTGAACATGTACTAGCAATTGAAATTAAGTTGTTTAATTTGTTTATCACATAAACAGGGAGTCCCAATAAAATCTTACATTTTTTAGCATTTGAGATTAGCATTGTCTAGTTCTTCCCCATTTCACAGGAAACTTTTCTCAATTATATTTAAACTTAAGAGGAACATCCATAAAAATATTTCACTGAAGAAAGCAAAATGGAGCTCTATAAAACTACACAAATGACACTATTTAAACAAGTGTAGAAATTAAAATATAAGAATCAGAAATTTTCTACTGAATAAAGTTGGAGAGACAGATTCTTAACTGGATATTAAAACTAACCAATAGTAAGAGGTCTTAGGTGGAAATACAGGTACATTAACTGACAAGAATGATATAAAAGACAGTCATCAAGAACAAGAGAAAAAATGTATTTTATCTAAAAGAAATAAAGTTAATTACCATGGTTGGAGCAATTCTAGGGCATCTTTAAATTTGTTACTTAGAAATAAGTTTAATGCCACTTCACATTCTTCCAGGCTACTCTTGAGATCCACTTTGGCTGACGGTGACCTAAACATCAAGAAAAAAAATATAGAGAATTTCTATAACTTTTACTATTAGCAAGGTGTCGCAGGGAGTGTATGTGTATACATATACCTTGGAGACAGACAGACAGGCTGGAATTCTAACTCTGCCACTTACTAGCGGGGTCTTGAACCTCCGGAAGCTGACTTTCTCATCTGTAAAATGGGAACACCACCAACTACTTCATGGGGCTATTATAAGGATGGAGTTAACGACAAGTAATGCTCATAGCAGGCAGTGAAAAAATGATAGTTATGCCCTACCCCACTCCACCCCATCACTCCAAAGACCACAAGTATAGAAGAACTACCTTTATTCATGGGGGGGGGGGGGGGGCTGGTTTGTTTAGTTTCATTAGATAAGGGGGAAGATGTGCTCCAATGGAAAACTGAATTGTCTAGAGGAGACCCCTCCAAGTCACCTGCTTTTGATTTTATGGGCTATCTTACAACTGAATTGTAAGTAACTGAAAGCAATGCAAAATAATGGTTGTCCATACACATAACAATTCAATCCTGGCCAGAGGAGGTGCAATTGGCTTCTCTCCAGTATGGAAGAAGCTAGTTGTCTCTGAGTTTGCATATTCATTTCAAAACTCCTTTAGTCCATATAAATTTGTGCTGTTTTCATTTCTCCTTTGAATCTGTTATAACATCTGCCTACTTCCCCCATTGATTAATGAGTTAAGTCTGTAAAATGTGTTCATTTCTACATCTCTATGATAGCCATGATTATATACTATTTTGAAAATTACTTGTTAATTACTTATGATTGATAGAAATGTTGCTCTTTAAAACTAAAACCATCTCTAAAAAGTTTTTCATAACAATTTTTAATAGGAAAGTATTTCAAAACACTATTTCAGTAAGCAAATAAGCAGTATGATTTATTTCAAAGTTGAATATCCATGCCTCCAACCTCTCCAAATTCATTCTTTCAAGCATGAAAACAGAATCTCACCACTTACTCATCTACCAGAAATGGGCTCTGAAGGTTCTACAGGGAATGACCCTCTGCCCCAAAAACTTCCCTTGGCTGGTCCCTTCCTGTTACTCAGATCTTAGCTCAAGAAGCACCAACTCAGAACTGCCTCGTTGACCCAGCCCATCCGGTCTCACTATTTCTCCACTCCATACCACTAATTACCATTCAAAGTATCCTGTGCAGAATTTTGGACACATTTGTCTTTGCCTATCTTCCCTCTCTGGGCATAAATGTTGGGAGGCTGCTTTAGTCCCCACCAGAGCTTTGGTGGTATCTAGGACATAGTACATACTCATTAAACATGGTTGAGCAATGGGTGGGTAGGTGGGTGGGTGATTAGGTAAAGCTGATCTGAGTAGAAACAGAGAATTCCTCATGCCTAGAGCTTGAAGGCACCTCTCCTGTAGGGCCGTGCAGAAATGAGACAAGCTCTTGGTGGAGGTGGAGCTGAAGGGCTAAAAATCTGTGATGGTTAATTTTACGTGTCAACTTGAATGGGCTAAGGGATGTCCAGACAGCTGGTAACACACTATTTCTGGAGGTGCCTGTGACTGTGTTTCTAGAAGAGATTAGCTGTTGAATTGGTGAACTGAGTAAAGCAGATTGCCCTCCTCAGTGTGGGTGAGCATCACCCAATCCACGGAGGACCAGAACAGAACAAACAGCGGAGGAAGAGTGAATTCCTGTGCTCTCTCAGTTTGAGCTGGGACATCCATATTCTGCTCTCTTGTGCTCCTCTTTCTCAGCCTTCAGACTTGAACCAAATTGTAACACTAGCTCTCCTGGTTCTGCAGCTTGCAGAGAGCAGATCGTGGGACCTCTGGCCTTCATAATCACATGGGCCAGTTCCCAAGATACGTCTCCTCATCTACCTGTCCTAGTGGTCCTGATTCTCTGGAGAACCCTGAATAATCCAGAACTGTTTGCCCTTAAGTTTCCAGGGACTAAAGAAGCCTAATACGAATGCTAGGAGTTTATAAACCTCTCTCGGGAAAATTTCTCTCAAGAAAGTTGCCTGATACCTCCCTTCAGTCCATCACCAAATTTGGTCGGTGTTACTTCCTGAACATCTGTTGGGTGTACCTAGTCTCACCTCCCCTGCCCAGTCCACCTAAGCCTCATCTGCCCCCTGGTATCTACAGACACATTTAGCCCTTTCCTGCCCCTGCCTCTCACCCCAGCCAAATCTCCACCTAGAATTCATTCAACTAATATTTATGGAGCCCTAACTATGTGCCAGGCACCCTTCTAGGGGTTGGGAGTACAACAATCAACCAGACACAGGATCCCCGGCTCTAAAGCGACTTTCCTTGTCCTGGGGTGGGGAGTGCTGACTTCAGCAAGACCGAAGCTCAGATCCTCAGCTGGGTTACAGTCTGGGAGGAAACTGGTCTGGGAAGGGGGCGGGGTGAGGCCCAGCGTTAACGGGGCGGCCAGGGAAAGCTCTCCAAAGGGCGACCTCTGAGGGCTGTAGTATGGATCCAGCCACGGGGATATCTGGGCTGAGGGGGAGGGGAGAGTCTAAGCTGGGAGTGTGCTGAGCAAGGCAGAGAGTCAGAGAAAATGAGGACAGAAAGCAGGCAGAAACCGGAAACCACATTGGCCGAGGAGCTGGGTTTAATTCTGAGAACAAAAAGAAATTTTTAGCTCGGAAATCTCCACTCCCTTTAATCACCCCTTCAACGATTAGGTTTTCCAGTTTCACCTCTCACCTGTTCGCTCGCTCTTGACTCCCACCAGTTCTCTCAGGTTACAGCTCATCTTTGATTATAAAGAGATGGGCTGTGAACACATACTGGTCCCCTTGCCAGACGACCATCACCTCCACGTCTCAGCTGGCCACACTGTCATGGGGGAGGAGGCACTAACGCTCAGATTCCAGGGATAAACAAAAGTGGGAGGGCAGCACCTCCAAACATGGTTAACTCAACCCTTCTACATGGTTTACTAAGATGTTCACATGAAACTAGGAACCCCACCCCCACCCCCCAGAATACCAGCACTACCATGCGTTTTGCATGGACTGACCAAGAGAGCAAGCTGAGTCTCAGCCAGAGCTTCTCGACATCTCTTGGAGTCAGTTCTCTCCATTTCCACTGCCATCACATTGACTGAGACTCTTCTCGCTTCGCGTCATGCACACCGTCCTGACTGTCACTGTTTTGACTCAGCGGTTCTCAAACTTCAGTGTGCATTCCACTTACCTGGAGGGCTTGCTATAAAACATATTGCTGGCCCTGGCCAGTTTGGCTCAGCGGCTAGAGCGTCAGCCTGCGGTCCAGAGAGACCCAGGTTCGATTCCCGCTAAGGGCACATACCTCGGTTGCAGTTTGTCCCCGGCCCTGGTTGGTCGTGCGGGTGGCAGCCACTCGATGTGTCCCTTTCATGTCAATGTTTCTCTCTCTCTCTCTCTCTTCCTCTCTCTCCCACCCACTCTTTCTGAACAAAAAATTAAAAAAAAGAAAAATGTCCTTGGGTAAGGATAAAAAAAAACACACACACACTGCTGGACCCCACCACCAGAATTCCTGACTCAGTAGGCCTGGCGTGGTGCCCACAAGTTCCTAAATAATACTAATTTTGCTTTAATTCATCCTGGAGACCACTCTCATGTGAATCTTCCTAAAACAGATGTTCAATCACACTGCCTCCTTAGGTTTAGAGCCTAAAGTGAAGAACTAAACCAAAGAACTTATGCATATGGGCATAACCAATGGACACAGACAACAGTGCTGGGGGGGGGGGGGGACAGGAGGAGGGTGTCAAGAGGCGGGGAGAAACATCTGTAACAAAAATAAATTAAGTAAATTAAATTTTAAAGAAAGAACCTAGAGTGGCTGCCCATATCTCCCAGAGGAAGTTCAAACACTTCTGCCCAGCCCACCGCACCTGTCTAATCAGATCAGAGTGAAGAATCTGGCTATTTAAAAACAGCCAAGCATCTTGCAAGTGGCTCGTCCGTGTGGCATCCTCCTCAAGCCTGCCGATATGACAAGTCCTGGGCTGGAATTAGAAGCAGCATTGTCCTTCTCCAGCCATGTGATCTTCAGGAAGTCATCTGACCTCCCTGAGCCCACCGCCTCGCCTTTGAAATGCCGTCCCGTTTCACAATGTGTGCAGGAGAAACAAAGGCACAAAGGTGATATTTCCTATGAGACCGTGAACAGGTCGGAAGTTTACTGTCGAAGACAATCGAGGATGTGTTGTGAGGGAAGAGGAGGGCTATGGACCACGGGATCAGATGGCATTGGCATTTTAGATGCTTTGCTAAGTGCAACGAGAAAAGTATCTGCTTTATTCAGGAGCCCAGGAGCCCCTCCATCCCTAAAGCCACAATCAAAGATTTCCGACATACACTGATTCCACTCAAACTGTGGTCCTAGGTCACCAGATCTCAAACTCCCAATACCACTTTCAATTATTTACCTGGAGATTTTGTTTTTACCCTCTGAGAACTCACAATTTTTACTGACTCATGTTGGATAGAGAGATAACTGGTGACTTTTTTCTCCTCTTTCCAAATTATTTAAAATCTTTTCAGGATACTTTTATGATGAAAACTGATTTATACAAATATTACACACAAAAGTATGTTTTAAAGAGAAACGAAGAGAGAATCCTGTCTGCACCCTTTCCCAGTTCTGTAGCCCTGAACAGCCACGTGACGTCTCTGAGTCTGTCTCCTTACCTGTAAGGTGGGGGCAGCCAACCTGCTGTTACTGCTCTACAAGGCAGTTATAAAAACCAGGTAAGCTCATGGAAATAAAAGCATAAGCACTAGTTATATTGAGGCATTAGTATAATTCTCCAGGAATGTCAAACAGCCTTACCTAATAAGAACCACATACACTTATACTTTCTGACCTAACAAAGCTTCTCATAATTTGATGACCTACTTTTACAATATGTGATTCACAAGCCCTGTTGATTAAAAAGTAGAGAGGGGGCCCGGCCTGTGTGGCTCAGTGGACTGAGAGATCCCGGTTCAATTCCCAGTCAGGGCACATGCCCGGGTTGCGGGCTCGATCCCCAGTAGGGGGCGAGCAGGAGGCAGCCAATCACTGTTTCTCTCCCACATTGATGTTTCCATCCTCTCTCTCCCTTACTCTCTCTCTCTAATAAATCAATAAAAACATATTTAGAATAAATAAAGGGATTTTATGTTAGTGTTACAATGACTAAAAATACACAAAACCAATATATAATGCAGTGCTTCTGAGTTCCTCTAAATTATTCCTTACATTTTCAGTAGCCTCCTTTACTTAATAAAATCAATTATTTAAAATAGTTACACACCCAATTGAATAGCTATTAACATTTTAAACTGTCTAAAGTGTCTAATATGAACTTTTTTTAAATCCTCACCTGAGGATACTTTTTTCCATTTGTATCTTTAGATAGAGTGGGAGGGAGGGAAAGAGAGAGAGAAACATCAACGTGAGAGAGACACATTGATTGGTTGCTACCCACACGACCCCAACCAGGGCCAGGGATGAACCACACTGAGGTACGTGCCCTTGACCGGAACCAAAGCTGTGATTCTTTAGTCCTTGGGCCAACGCTCTACCACTCAGCAAAACCAGCCAGGGCTAATATGAACTTATTTTAAATTCATGTAATAAAAGCTCGACAGTAATCAGTTTTCAACTGAAGATAAGTGCACACACTGGAAACATGGATGTAAGTTGAAAATGTTACAGTCGCTACCTCGGAAACTTGCAGCTGAGTTAGAAGGTAACAACTGTGAGAGAAAAACATTTCTTCCCACTTCTCAGATTTACCTAAAGGGGACTCAGAGGATTAACAGTCCTGGGCTCTCGTCTCTTTTCACTCCTGCCTATGGAGAAGAATTATCCGATTGGTACACTGGAAAGAAAAACGGCCTGAGTGGTCCAGCCTTTCTCATAGGGAAAGAGGGCTCACCGTATGCTCTCCAAGGAGGGCAGGCTCTACCCCATCACCATCGCCATCACCCTCCTCACAAGGGAAGTCTGCAAATCAGGGCCTAAATTTTATTCAGGGGCACGTCAAAAGTCTGTTTCGCCACCAAAGTTACATCCTCCAAGATGATCTTCAAGAATAATAAAGCTGAGGATTTGGTCTCTATACATCAGACCCCTTGACCAAAACTTCAACTGGCTCTAGACTTAGGCCAATAAAGAGGCAGTTTTCAGACCAAGAACTCAACACAGAATTTGTAAGCACGGAATGGTGGCAGGGTTAGACTATACTCTTCAGCCTTTCCTGACCTGTGTGGGCGTGTTCAGGGTTCTTTTCCAAGCAATCCAAGATCCCATCTGTACTGAGAACTACAGATGTCCCCATTCTCAAGAGCTCCAAGCCAAAGTGCCTCAGGTCAGCCAGTTCAGCTGTGTGGAGGTCAGAGGCTCAGAAGTACCTACAGCTGGACAACCAGACTCAGGAATAACCCAAGGGAGAGGAAGAATCCAGAAAGTTCACAATGACAGTGGGCTATGTTGGATGGTGAGACTTTCAGGCAAGTCACTTAACCTCTCCAAGTCTGTTTCCTCCACTATGAAAAGGGTGCGAGGACATGACAATGCTTACTCCATGAGTATTAGCACCACCGTGAGGAGGAACAGCAAAGACAGCACAAGGTAAAAGCCACTCATGCACTAGGTGAATGAGGTAAATACTATTATTTGTAGAAAAAGTAAAAGGGGCTAGTCTAGTCTCTCCTCCTGTGAATTATGTGCTCGTCCTTCGGACCCAAAGAGGAGAGCAGAGTTCTGACCCAGAGACACCACTCCGGGGCACAGCACCTCACATCATGTCTATTTCAGTCATCTATCAAAAGGAAGAGTGGGGTTTTTGTCAATTCTTCTTAAAAAGCACTTAGTCTTGCCATGGCAGCTTTGGCTTATCAGCTAGAGCATTGGCCCATGGATTAAAGGGTCATGGGTTCGATTCCCAGTTAGAGGCATGTACCTGGATTGCAGGTTCGATCCCCAGCCCTGATCGGGGTTGTGCAGGAGGCAACCAATTGATGTGTCTCTCTCACATCGGTGTTTCTCTCTCTTCTCCCCTGTCTCCCTTCCACTCTATTTAAAAATCAATAGGAAAATATCCTCGGGTGAGGATTAACAGAAAAAAAACAAAAAGCACTTAGTCTACAGAATCATAATATGATACATCAAAGTCATTTAAATTACTTGTACTTTAATGCCTTTTCTGCCTATCCTGATTTGTTAGTAAGTACAATTATAATGAGCTGTTCTTTACTATCTTACCAATATGGTAATAATTTAGCATTTTCCAATAGGTCTCTAATAAAATTAACTTATTTTGAAATGGCTTCTATTTGGCAAAGAGTGGTAACTACCCCTGGCTTATCCTACCTGTGAAGATGCTGGACAACCATGCAACACAGCACACGTTCCACAGGCCAGTGATGCCAACTGCGTTCAGATGAGGCATGAAGAAAGAATGAAATGGAAGTGCAGCAAGAAGGTAAGATGCACCCTGACCAGTGGCTCAGCTGGTTAAAGAGTCATCCCCTACACCAAAAGGCTGCAGGTTAGATTCCCAGTTAGGACACATACCCAGGTTGCAGGTTCGATCCCAGATCAGGCACATACGGGAGCCAATCAATTGATGTTTATGTCTCTCACATCGATGTTTCTCTCTCTCTCTCTCTCTCTCTCTCTCTCTCTCTCTCTCTCTCTCTCAAAAATCAATAAACATATCATCAGGTGAGGATTAAAAAATTTAAAAAAATTTTAAAAGGTGAGATGCATAAAAAAACCCTACCTCACCTCCTCTGAGCCCGGTCCACTGCTTTCCTTCTTAAACTAGGACAGATCTTTCCAAGAAGGGATGGTATAGATGTCTTAACTGCAAGGAAAGAGTACCAAGCACCCTTCTAATACAAATCAGAAGGTCAAAGAAAGCTAGATTGAACTCTATAATGATGTTTGGGCATTGTTTTTCCTATTTTCTTTAATTGTGGTAGAATACATGTAACATAAAATTTGCCATCTTAACCATCTTTAAACACACATACAGTTCAGTAGTGTTAATTATATTTACATTGTTGTACATGCAACCAATCTCCAAAACGTTTTAATCTTGCCAAACTGAAACCCTATACCCATTAAACAATAACTCCTTCTCTCCTTTACTCTTCACGAACCAAGCAAAGAGAGTCCCCTCTTCTCTCACAAGCCCCTAGTCAAAATTTGGCCATAAGCGTAATGATTTAGCCAATGGGAAACCTTACCTCACTAAACAGTCTCTGGAACTCAGCCTCCTGATGGACCAGAACACCCTGCATAACTCTGGGATTCTCCCAAACCTCAATGAGTTAGTAAAGTTACCAATGGTTGGTGCCACACTGAGCTGAAGGGTTGGTAAGTGAAGTCTATAAAAGGTTTGCTCTCTATTCCTTTAATCCTGAAACCCAAGACCCCTATTCTGCCTCCTGCTTTCAATGAATTTCTCAAGTAACTCGAGAAAACAAAATACACTGTATCTCAGAGATTTTAAAGTGGGAAACCACGTCACTATAACATTCCCCATGGAAAAAAATATTTGAAGATCAAATATGCCTCTCAAATAAAAAACAGATGTGTTACAAAGAGGAGGTGATGAGAATGCTCTAGGCCAAGGTGGAAAGTCTTTCCTCATTTGTCCAAAAGTGACCTGACCACACCTGCTTCATCAACTAGTGTGTCAACGGATTTGAAGAGATGAACACAAAACTCACGAATGGCTGAAACTTTGTGTCACAGTGCCCTGTAAGAACACTAGCAATAAACTCAAACCCAAAGAATATCTGAATTGAAGGCATCCTTGTAAAGGAAGACTCTCTCCCGGCTCTTTCAGGTTGAAGAACAACCAAAAAAACCATAATTGCCAAAACACTGTAAGACTAAAGAAAGGAGAGGGATTATAACCAAGGAGGCACATGGGTTCGTGAAAGGTGTGCTGGACTGGACATGAGAAGACAGAACATTAAGTTGCAATTCCACTACTGCCTGGCTGTGGCCAGGATTTCTTGTTTGTTACATAGTGACCAAAACACCCTCCTTGACTGCCTCACAACTTTGCGTTGAGGAGTGAATTCGTGGGGTTCTGTGAAGCGAGGAGTCACAGGAGTGATACATTAGGTAGGGTGCTATTTTGTTCTATGCAGTCTAACTATCCACATACTTGTCCAAATCTGAAGATTTTTTCACTGCTACAGATGTCCTTCTAGTCTGGTCCAGAATACATTTACCACTGATTGTTTTTACAAATGCATTAAACGACCTGTTGATTAAAAGGCAGAGGAGGGATTTTTATTGCTTAATATTTCAAAAAAAGGCTATGAAATCTTCAAACGCTAATACTATATACTTGACTATGCCACTAAATAATTTCTTACATTTCCCTCTGTTTCTTCATTTATGTATCTTTTTGTTTGTTTATTTTTCAATTAAGTTGACATTCAATATTACATATGACATTTAAGTATACAAATGCAATAGTAGCTAGACATTTATATAACTTAACAAAGTGATCACCTCGATAAGTCTAGTATCTACCTGATACTATGCATAGTTATTACATTGTTATTGACTACATTCCCTATACTGTAATTTATATCCTCATGACTAATTAGTAACTGCAAATTTATACTTCTTAATCCCTTTACTTTATTCATCCAGCCACTCAACCCCCATCCAATCTAGCAACCATTAGTTTCTCTGCATTTGAGTTTGTTTCTGTTTTGTTTGCTTGTTCATTTTGTATTTTAAATTCCACATATAAGCAAAATAACATGGTATTTAACTTCCTCTGTTTGACTTATTTCACTTAGCATAATATCCTCATGGTCCATCCATGTTGTCACAAATGGTAAGATTTCTTTTATGGCCGAGTAATATTCCATTGCATATATGTTTCACTTCTTTTTTTTTTTTTTTTTTTTAATTTTTATTTATTGATTTGAGAGAGAGGAAGGAAAAAAGAGAGAGGGAGAGAGAGAGAGAAGCATGGATCTGTTGTTTCATTTATTGATGCATTCATTGGTTGATTCTTGGAGGTACCCTCATTGGGGATTGAACCCACAATCTTGGCATATGGGGACGATGCTCTAACCAATGGAGCTATGCAGCCAGGACCTGTCCCACTTCTTTATTTAATCATTTATCATTGGATTGCTTCTATATCATGCTGCAGTAAACATAGGGGTACTTATATATTTTCAAATTAGTGTTTTGGATTTCTTTGAATAAATACCCAGAAGTGGGATTGCTGGGTTATATGGTAGTTCTATTTTCATTTTTTTTAGAAATCTCCATACTGTTTTCCACAGTGGCTGCACCAATCTGCATTCCTACCAACAGTGCATGAGGGTTTCCTTTTCTTCGTATCCCCACCAATATGTGTTTGTTGATTTATTGATGATGGCCATCTAGTCAGGTATGAGGTGCTATCTCATTGTGGTTTTAATTTGCATTTCTCTGATGATTAGTGACATTGAGCATCTTTTCATACTCTATTAGCCATCTGTATGTCCTATTTGGAGAAGTGTATTCAGATCCTCTGCTCATTTTTAATTGGATTTTTGTCCTTTTGGTGTTAAATTGTAAGAGTTCCTTATATATTTTGGATATTAACCCTTATTGGATGTATAATTGGTGAATATCTTCTCCCATTCAAGAGGTTGTCTTTTCAATTTGTTTACAGTTTCATTGTGCAAAAACTTTTTAGTTTGATGTAATCCAATTTGTTTATTTTTTCTTTTGTTTCCCTTACCTGGGGAGACATATCCAAAAAAAATTACTAAAAGCAACATCAGAGAATTTACTGCATGTGTTTTCTTCTATGAGTTTTACAGTTTTGAGTCTTACATTTAAGTCTTTAAACTACTTTGAGTTTATTCTTGTATATGATGTAAGAAAGTAGTCAAGTTTCTTCTTTTTTTTTTTTTTTTTTTGCATGAACCTGTCCAGTTTTCCCAAAACTATTTATTGAAGAGTCTGTCTTTACCCCATTGCATATTCTTCCCTCCTTCGTCTTAAATAATTGACCATATAGGTGTGGGTTTACTTCTGGGCTCTCCATTCTGTTCAATTAATCGATGTGTCTGTTTTTATGCTGTTTTGATTATTATGGCCTGTAGTATAGTTTGAAATCAAGTAGCATAATACCTCCAACTTTGTCTTTTTTCTCCAGATTGCTTTGGCTATTTGCCAGCACTTCTGTCTGGGAGAGTTGCCCCTCCAGTCCTTGGCACTTTTCAAGCTGCTGGCCCAGTGTCGGAGTTCAGAGAGGGTGAGAAGTCCATGCAAAAGCCCTTTAAAAAGGAACACTGGGACTCCAGCAACCTTTTGTCTTATCAGGATGGACAGGATCCCTGCTGATTTTCACAGCCAGATGCTATGAGGGCTCCTCTTCCCAGCACTGGTGGTCCAGGCTGGAGAGCCCCGTGTGGGTCTGAAACCCCCTGTTCCTCAGGGGGAACCTCCACAGCCGAGATACCCCTGCGGAGCCTTGTGTGCATGTGGAACCAGCCTGTTTTGCGTCTACCCCTCCTACCAGTCTCAACTTGGCTTCTTTTTTATATCCTTATTTATATTAGTTCTGTTCAGCTAGTCTTCAGGTGGTTCTCAAGGGTGATTGTTCTATAATTTAGTTGTGATGTTGATGTGGTTGTGGGAGGAGGCGAGCACAGCATTTACCTACCCGGCCACCGTGACTGGCTCTTCCTTTATATATCTTTAACCTCTTCTCTGACCCCCTTTCAACTCAGAAACACACACAAACCTTATTTCTAGCTAATGTTAAACCAGACCAAAAAAAAAAAAAAAAGTAACTTTCCCTCACTCATTTTCTCTCTTAACACACAACATTTCCCACTTCTTTTCTTCATAGGCGAGACTTCAAAAATGAGTTGACACTCACTTTCCTTACTCCAACCCCGTCCCATCCATCTCGGCCACCACAGCCTGGCTCCTGCCCCAGCTCTCTTGAAACCCTGACATCTAACTGCAAACACAAAGGGTACTTGTCAGCCTATATGCATACAGACATCTGCAACACCTGGCTTACTGACCAAATTCCAGAGCTCACCCCTCCCCCAGCCCCTTGCCCATCCCGCAGCCACCATCTGGAGTCTTCCTCTCTCACATCTCTGCAGCCCTGGCTTGACCTCTCATTCCCTCTGCCATCCCATCAGTGCTTGTGTTCCCGAAAGTTCCTTTCTCCCTTCTCTTCTCATTTGTCTTGCTCTCTCTTGTTAATAGCATTTATGGTTCATGACTTCAAAAAGTACATATTTGCTGAAGGTTCCCAGTCTACATATCCAGCTCACCGCTCTCTCTGAACATCATACCCTTTATTTATTACTGCTTTCAATCATTTTTTTAGCTATTTTATTACAGCTTTCAAACTCAGCATTATAGATGTTGATGCAGGAGGAACCTAGGAAACTCTGAAAGAGGGGCACATATTTCTGAAGAAAGCTCTGATTTCCATGAACAGGAACATATGGAATAAAATAATAATGTGAAAAATGAATGCCTTAAGATCCTTAGAAGTTACTTTCAAGGTCATCTCCATTCCTTAATCTTCATATTATTGCACCCCTTTCTTGTATCAGCAAACTGCCAAGTCCGTGAGTATTATGAACACTCTCATAAATAACTAAAATTTCAAATTCAAAATGCTAAAGATCTGCTGAATAATTTAAAGTTTAATAAACCTGTAGGATAGAGGAAAAGCACTTTCTCATAGTACTAAAAAATAGCTTTAACAGAGTTGCCTTAATAACTAATAAAGGAATAACCTACATGTTTAAAGAGAAACAAATGGTTAAGTTAATTTCAGAATAAGCAGGAAAGGAACAGTAATTAGCCATTAAATGTGATTTTATGAAAAATACTTAAGAGAAAGAAAAAAATCTCATGTCCTACTGAGTTTTTAAAAGCGGGTTATTAAATAGTATATTTAATATGATCTCAAGCAAAAAAATTAATATCTTTATATATGAAGGGAAAAAGAAAGAATATAGACCTAAAAAACAGTTATGATTATTATGGTGATAGTAATACATATTTTATTCTTTGTGATTTTCTATATTTCCTCAATTTTCACAATGAATGTTTTTTAAATATTTTTAAGCCAACATTACAAGAAGTATATAAGTACAAAAATAATCATAATACAATATTGACCAAAAACTCCATGGTTATATCCATCTCGAGAAACACATGTCCAGGAAAAAGACTGGAATGAAATACACCAAAATTATAACAGTTTGTGTTAACGGTCATAATTACAGTTTGTTTCTCTATTCCTTCATTTTCACCAATGGTTGGCAATGTGGTTATTTTATTTAAAATTAATGGTTAAAACTTTTAAGATTAAAAAAAAAACACAGAGAGAGCTGTGCCCCAAAAGTTGAATTAGTTTTGTTTCTGCTTTTATGTGACAGTGGCACACATTCGCTGAGTCCCTTAGCCTCTTTCCCGAATTTGTAAAAGGGGCACTCTGCCTGCCTGGGCCTCTCCCCTCCCCACCGATCAATAAAACACAAAGCCCTGTTCTAACAGCAAACATCAACGGTACAGCTCACTCAAAAGTAGGACCGGTCCCCCCAGGAACACTCGTACACCCCTTCTGACCTGCTCATAAGAGATGACCTGTGTTGTCCAGAAGACTGTTTTGTGTCAAATGATGGTAAGTGACGGCTGCTTGTTGCCATATCTGTGTGATGAGGCCTGTTAATAAAAAAGGCAGAGTAAGGTGTTTATTTCTTGTCTTACAGAAAAAGTCCACATAAATTTAAGTATACAACACAAGTCCTTCAATTATTTACTACATCTCACCTACATTTCTTTCTTTCTTTTTTTAATTGATTTTTAGAGAGGAAGGAAGAGGGAGAGAGAGAAAAGAAACATGGATGTGATAGCAAAACATTGATCAGCTGCCCCCTGTGGAGACTGAGCCCCCAAGCCCGGCACATGCCCTGACCAGGACTTGAACCAGCAGCCTTTCAGTGCACAGGCTGATGCCCAACCAACTGAGCCACAGCAGCCAGGGCACCTCCATTTCTTAGCAATTTGGAAAAATCAAGTAACAAAAATGTACTCAGTTATGTGGTAAGTATTCCTGAAATAAAGCCCCAATAAAATAAACTTATTTTTCTTTCATTCTAGTACACACATAAAAACAGAAATTAACTGAAATCACCCCCCACAGGTCACCACCCAAAGACTGCATTTTATCTTGTATATATTCTTCCATACCTTTTCCCAAGTAAATCTACACATATGTTTTTGTATCTTATTAAAATGGAATATTATAGTAGCGCTTTCCTTGAAAAGCATATAAGTTTTATTGAATTTTTAGCCCTGGCTGGTTTTGCGCAGTGGTTAGAGCATCAGCCTGTGGTCCAGAGAGACCTGGGTTCGGTTCCTGCTAAGGGCGTGTACCTTGGCTGCAGTCTGTCCCCGGCCCTGGTTAGGTCGTACGGGTGGCAGCCACTTGATGTGTCCCTTTCACGTCAATATTTCTCTCTTTCTCTCTCCCTCAGGCTCTATCTGAACAAAAAAATGAAAAAATGTCCTTAGGTGAGGATTAAAAAGAAAAAAATTTATTGAATTTTTACATGTACATGGGAACCTTCACAAAAGAATGAAATCCCAAAGAAGTAATCCGAGCAGGAAATTTTTATACCTTTTGGACAAAAAATAATAATAAATTTGTGAATAATTGGCAAGACAAGGAACTGGGCTAGGGGTAGCAAATGGTGAAGAAATAAGAAGGAATATAAGAGTTACTTTAATATGGTTTGCAGATTCTATGGGCTGCCAGGTGTCTGTCTCCAGTAAAAGAATTTATTTCCTGCTTTCATGCAAGAAAGGAAGAGCTTTTTCTGCCTTTTACTGCTTCTTAATTGCCTTCAGCTCAAAATAATTTGATGTCACAGAGGCGTATTTTAGGGTGACACATTCTGGTTTCCTTCATCATAACCTTAATTCACCCCGAATCTTTTCTTCTCAGTCAAGAGAGTTGCTCCATTATAGTTACTGTTCGTTACCCCATCCTCATTTTGGGGCACGGAGGTTGCTCCTGATGTTTTGTGACTACAAATAATATTGTAATAAGCCCCTTTACGCACTTTTGCCTGATTATTTCCTGAGGATAAATTTCTGAATTAAAGGGTGTGTATTTTGTAAGGTATCTTATTGGTAATAAACTGTTTCATTGGCCATTACATACATCAAAGAGTGCTGAAGTGACACAGAGGAGGTGGACACCAATCTGGTGTACAGAATCTTAGGCCACGGTACTGACCCAGAGCCACTCAGGAGAGGGAAACTTCCACAGGGTTTAATGAGCCCGCCCTGTGTTGTAACAGAATCTCCAATCTCCTTCTGCTTCCATCCACCTCAAGATCACACATCTCATGAAAAAGAAAGGGTTATTGACTATCCCTTTAGGGACACCTTTTTTTTTCTAAAAAATTCTAAGGTATGTAATGCCCTCAGTTAAGTGGAGTTTGATTATATTCCACCTCTCAAACTCCCCAGTACCCTCTAATATTTTTTAAATCTGTTTTTATTGTTTTTATTTAGAGAGAGATCAAAACATCAGTGTGACACATTGATTGGCTGCCTCTTGCATGCCCCCTACTGGGGATCGAGCCAGCAACCCGGGCATGTGCCCTGGCTGGGAATCAAACTGGGACCTCTCAGTCCATGGGACGATGCTCAATCCACTGAGCCACACCAGCCGGGCAGTACCCTCTAATGTTTTACATTCGACATTTATCTTATCTTAAACAGATCAAGTTCCCTAAATTTTATACATCAGGTTAGAGGAAAATCAAGGTTCTTCTTAGGAGAGGGGTTGGGTGTGGGAGGTGGGAGGGAAGAAAACACCCCAGATAAGGGGGAATATAGCTGGAAGCAGGTTATGTTCCAGCACCAGAACTTTCTAGAACAGAGGAAACACTGAGCACTTAGGTAAACAGGACTCTGGGCAGTGACTGCCATCTCTGTTTACAAATAGGGAAAAACAGGTTCAAGAGGCTGTCTCCCCTTTCGTACCGTTCTTGCCCACCTGCTCTCTTACAGATTCACCTTTAGCCTTAATTATAAAATTAACCTGCTGTTTAAAACTTAGTAAGACATGACATTTTTTTTCTTTCTTTTATTAGTTATAAAGGCAACTCTTCCCTTTAACATTTCTGATCTTGATGGCATTCTCAAAAAAACCTCCCTGCACAAAGATTTTCTAAATCATTTAACCAGTGTCGTCACCTTTTAATATTTAATTTGTTGATCCATTTTTAATTTGATTACATGGTACAAGATAGTGCTGTGCATTTGTTTCTTAATCTTTGGCCAGTTACCCAAGATAATTTTTAAAAGACCACATTTTTTTTCCTCCAGTGATCTCATACACCATATACACAAAACATTAAAATTTTAGGACAGTCTGCTAAAATCAATTATGTTATGCCAGGTAAATATTGCATGTTTCAAAGCTACAATTATAGTGTCTTTACCTGGCACAATAGAGTTGAATTCAACAGAACTTAATAATTATTAATAAAATAATATCAGATTTTATTCATCTCTACTGAGGTATAAAAGATTAGATGCCTTTAGTACATGTATACAAAGTCCCAGAAATTCTATAACATTTAAAAATTTATATTAATACCACACCACAGTAAGTGTGTATCATGCTACAAAGTGATTTTTTATTCAACAGTATTTTGATAAAGACCTAATTCACTCAAACTATGATCTAGTATTTCATCAAGAACCAATTCTTTTCATTTTTTTATGAGGAATATTTCAAATACATGAAGAAAATAATAGAGCACACAAGTATATCTGGAATTCATTTTTGTGTACAGTGTGAGCTGCACATATTTAATTGTTTCCCACATGGACAGGCAATTATCCCAACACCAGTGATACTCCTTAGCTTGGGAGGAAGACAAAGAACTCTCTGTCCTCTCCTGTAATCCTGGAGCCCTGTCTACCAGGCCCACCCAAGGATGGGCCTTTGCTTGATTTGCTATTTTCTACTGATTGAGGCCTACACTCTGTAAAATTATATGTTAACCTGCAGATTTTTTGTCTGGTAAATATGCAAGTAATTTGTCTGGTAAGGTGATGGTGTTATTACCTTATAAGAGATTAACCAGTTTTGTATATAACAAATCTGATTCTAACATTTTTTCTTCAGTTCCCCAAATATTCTTAGAACCAGTTTTACCATCTTGCTGGTTTCCTCACTGACAAATAAATCCCTGACGTTTGTTCCTTCGATAATTTTTACACGATGACAAACCGAATAGTACTGCCGCCTCTGTGCCAGGCAAGTGTCCGCACGCACACAGGGCTGTTTCCAGGCCCTCTTGTTCCACTCACTCCCCGATCTGCCGCTCTCTGTACCCTTCACATCATTTTCATTTTCATGGCTTTCCTGACACACCATGGCTTTTCCTAAGCAAGGCCTCTACTTTATCAAATGTTCTTTTTGGGGGGATGGGAAGGGACTGTATTATTTTACCTTCTTCTTATTTATGAATTTTAGAGTAAGTTATTAGAGTTACCAAAAAAAGTCTTGCCATGGTTTTCGCTGGAACTTCATTACTTTGTAGAGAATTGCTATCTATAAATATTACATTTTCACATCTATCTACATTTAGTCAGGTCTTCTCTTATTTCCTTCAATACAAGTTTTTAATATATGAAACACTGCAATGGGGCGTATATGTATCCTTGCAGAAAGCCATGGTAACCATTCTTTATGTTGCTTCCGTTTAGAATCTGTATCACCAAAGTAAGTGCAGTTATTAAAAATTTAAATGGAATGACTTGTCTGTTCTACTCCTGAGCATAACCAAGATGTTATACTGAGATGTTAGAAGAAACGTATGTTTAGCTAGAGAAAAACATTATTTGGTTGACAGATGCTAATGAAAACAATATGTCATGTTTTTAATGACAGGTATTAGTGTGTTGGAAAATATGTTTACTTTGCCCTGTTTTTACTGTTCTAATTTATTTAAGTTTCTAAAAAAGCCATATTGAAATATAATTAGAGGCCACACAATTCACCCATTCAAAGTATACAATCAAAGGTTTTTAGTGTATTCATATTTATAGCAGTGTGCAACTACTACCACAATCTAATCTAAAAATATTTTGTCGCCCAAAAGAAACTCTGTATTCATCCTTTAGCAACCAACCATTCCCCATAGTCCAAGGCAACAACCAATCAACTTTTTGCATCTGTAGATTTGCCTATAACTTGCCTTTTTGCACTTAGCATAATGTTTTCAAGATTCATTCATGTTGTTGCATGTATCAGTACTTCACTCCTTTTTATTGCCAAATAATATTCCATTGTATGGACATAATATATTTTGTTTATGGTTTCATTAGTTGATGGATTATTTCTACTTTTTGGCTACTATGAATAATGCTGCTATTAACATTCATGTACAAGTTCTTGTGTGGATATATATTTCATTTTTCTTGGGTATATACCTCGTAGTGAAATTGCTGAGTGAAATGGTAACTCTAGTTCCAACATTTTGATAAACTGCCAGACCATTTTCCAAAGTGGCTGTATGATTTTGCATTCCCACCAGTAATGAATGAGCGTTCCAATTTCTCTGTATCTTGACCAATACTTCTTATTGTCCATCTTAGTGGATATAATGGTATCTCACTGTGGTTCTGACTTGCAT